CGCACCAACGTGTGGATAGTACTCCGTCGAGTATTTGCCCCCAGTCGAGTTGCTAGTTTTAGACGAAACGGTTTCTTTCTGCAGTTTCGCTCTTCGCTGGGCTCGGCCACACACAGCGGGGAGCAGCACCGCGGCGGCCGCGCTTCTCGGGGCTGGGCGGCTGGGCATTTGGCATTTCACTCTCTAACGAGAAGAAGCCCGTCTTGTGGTCAACCGCGGGCAGCGGGATTAGGACTAGGTCACTGCGAGAGCGTGCGAGAGGAAGGAGGAGCAGAAGGGAGACAGAGAGGAGGGAGCAGGGGACCTCGCCGGCATGGAGGGCGCGTCGCTCTGATAAGCGAAATGCGATCCTTGCGGAAATGCGGGTCCTGCCTGCGGGGCGGGGCGTGGTGGGGCGTGGAGGGGCGTGGAGGGGCGCCCCATCAGTCAGTCACGGGTGAAAGTTTTTCTTCTTCCTCTCTCTCCAAATCAATCAAATGCTTTCTAGTACACGTGTGAGCAGCACAAGCAAAGCCCCCAACCCAATCCGTTTGCAGGGCAGACACGGCGGTTCATCGCTGCAGTGCCTTGCAGTGCCTTGCAGTGCCTTGCAGTGCCTTGCAGTGCCTTGCAGTGCCTTGCAGTGCCTTGCAGTGCCTTGCAGTGCCTTGCAGTGCCTTGCAGTGCCTTGCAGTGCCTTGCAGTGCCTTGCAGTGCCTTGCAGTGCCTTGCAGTGCCTTGCAGTGCCTTGCAGTGCCTTGCAGTGCCTTGCAGTGCCTTGCAGTGCCTTGCAGTGCCTTGCAGTGCCTTGCAGTGCCTTGCAGTGCCTTGCAGTGCCTTGCAGTGCCTTGCAGTGCCTTGCAGTGCCTTGCAGTGCCTTGCAGTGCCTTGCAGTGCCTTGCAGTGCCTTGCAGTGCCCGTGGCAGAGGCGCGGCGCCACGGGGTGTTACTCGATCACCTCGGCCTGGCTCTAGGCCTGGCGGCCTGCATGCCTCACGGTGTGGCGGCGTGGCGGTGTGACCTCACGGCATCAGCATACAATGCGCGCGCCGACGCCCTCCGCCGGCAAAAACACGCAGCGCGCCGCGGTTATGTTATTGCATCCGGCGGAGAAAAAAGTCGCCAGCCGCCTTTCTGGGAGTCTGGAAGTCTGAAAGTGGGGACGGGACTCGCGCCAATTATTATCTAATTACAGTGCAGCGCGTGATGGTTTTATTTCCGAGCTGCCTCGGCCGCCGCGAGAGAAGGGCGCCCAGGCTGGCTGCACCCCGGACAGCGCCTCAGCGCCATGCCTCGCGGCCCTCGCGGCACGCCGAGCAGCCCAACCACCTGCAGAGCGCCGATGACGGGCTGCGACATTTTAGAGGGCACCGCACGGGCACCGCGGCGTGGGGCCCTCCTGCTTCCTGCTGCAACCTCTGCCGTGCCACGGCACTGCCACGGCACTGCCACGCCACTGCCACGCCACTGCCACGCCACTGCCACGCCACTGCCACGCCACTGCCACGGCGTCGTCGTGCTGCAAGTGACGCCTGGCGACGCCAAGACAGGGAAAGGCAGACTGGGGCAGTGGGGCCGCATGCGTCTCTCAAATTCCACCGCGACGGACTACATGGCCTGGGCTGGCCGGGCTGGCCGGGCTGGCCGGGGCTGCTCGCCCGCCTGGGTCAGCCGGTCCGGGCTGGCCTGGGCTGCCTGGGCTGGCCGGGCCCCTGCAAGGCCCCCAGCAGCTTGGCCGGCTTGGCGCACCCGTTTGGAGACAGGAGAAAGCAAAACCTGCTGCCTGCACCTACCGGCCGCGCCGAGCCGAGGGCCCAGCCCGGCGAAGCGGTCTGCCTCCTAGAGACCACACGCCACACGCCCTGGAGCCCCTGCGGACCTGCAGACTGATTCCGGACAGGCGTCTTCGTCTCGCTCTGTCTTCGTCGCACTCGGACGCCTGCCCGCAGGGGAGCGAGAGAGACAGAGCGACGAGACGACGCTCCGGAATCGCCGTGGGCAGAGGGTAGATTAGAACGAGCACGGCGGCCATCTCCTCCGAATCTGGAAGGCCTGGATCCGCCGTGACAGTGAGGAAGAGAGACAGCACGAGAGGAAGTAGGAAGCGAGCCCGGCGACGCGGCGACGCCCAAATAAAGACAAAGGCAAACTAATCGCGAGCGCACGTGTGTGTGTGAGCTTGTGTGAGTGCAGGCCGGCGTTCCAGATACAACGGAAGTGGAGGACAAACGACGCAGGCCACGCACACACACGCAGTCGGCACATGTCCTCCGCAACACGTGTCCCGTAGTGCCTCTGCAAGAACAAGCAGGGCGATACACTGCGCATGCGCAGCAGTCGGGCGGACGGACAGACAGACAGACAGACAGAAAGACAGACAGACAGACAGACGGGCTGCAGGCAAATGACCGCGTGTCCGCGAGTTTTCAGGCCGTCCGGGGAATTCAACGCACGACAGCGCGCCCAGAGACACCGGGTTTCTGGGGCCGGCCGCCCAGCGCCGCCCCGGACCTGGAGACTGGAGACTGGAGGCTGGAGCCTGGAGGCTGGAGGAGTGGCTTTGAGGACCGCCGGCTCCCGATCGCCTTAGGTGGCTCCCGACCGCCCCACCCGCCACCGCCATCCCCCCAGGCAGGTAAAAGGGTTGTCAGAGCGGTGCATGACGGGCAGGGCGGCGGGGCCACCCCCACCTGTCTGGAGGCCACACACACCACTACACTGCCAAGCCAAGACAAATTGGACGCGCCTTGGAGACTGAAATCTAAACAAAAACTGATCACTGAGGATATACGAAACAATCGGCGTTTGTCCCAATAAATTACCTACGTCGCCGATAACCTTTATCTCATCCGGAGATAAAAACGGTCAGATCGAAAATTTAGTTGGTTGGTTGCGTTGGTGCCGGTTGGTGCCGATGTTGTCCCTGACCAGCACAATGTCAACCAGTGTTACCTCGGAATACTACTACAGGCCGCTCTTGCCAAACTCCGCGTGCTCGCACGCACGGCGCATTCCGCTGCCAACAGGCTGATTCCGAGAGTCGCTTTCGTCGCTCTGTCTCTCTCGCACCTGCACTGGCCGCCCCATGAGTGCGAGAAAGACAGAGAGCGGCGAAAACGACTCTCGGAATCAGTCTGCAGCGATTGTCGCCAGTAAAGTCCCGTCGTCTCGTCCAGTCGGGCTGTCGCCGCTGTCGCTGTCGCCAGCGCCAGCCTGACGACACCGCCCGACGCACCTGAGCGCCGCCTGCCGCCTCGCTGCTTGCGGCACTTGCAGCAGCAAATCCCTCCAGCAAGTGGCGCGGCGCAGGCAGACTGCAGGCAGACTGCAGGCAGTGCAGCGGTCGGAACTAAAGCGCTTTTCCCGCGAGTGGGAAGTCGAATGTCACATTCCAGCGGCCGCATAAAATATGATGGTGCCGCGCTGCAGCGCCGCAGCCTGCAGCCGCCAAGGGACGAGACGAGACGGTGTGGCAGCGCCGCGCCACGCCGTGCTGCTGCAGTGGTCGTGTAGGAGTGCGGCGGCAGCGCGGCCAGCGCCGCGGCCAGGTAGACGGCCGGAGATATGCCGTGCGGGGCGGGGCGGGGCGGGGCGGGAAGGTGCTCCACCACGCACACCACGCCACCACGCCCATGCTGGCCGTCCGCCAGCCCGCACCGCATATGTACGCCGCGGCGCGGGGGGCCGCTGTGGGCCCGCGGCCGGCCTCAGGATCGCGACGGCGGCAGCCCCTCGGGGCCCTCCGCGACCCTCCGCGACGTGGAGCAGGACGCCGTGCATGCCGGTGGCATGATGGCCGGGGAAATTTCATTTGCAAGCCAACACCTGCGCCGAACGCGTCCCAACGCCCCCCAGTTCGCCGCTGCCATGCGGACCGGGCGAACTGCGACACCAAGCTCTGTCTCTCTCGACGCTCTGTGAGTTGAAGAGAGACAGCCTCGCAAGCTGGTCGCTCGGTGAGCCGTGACGCCAAGCACGCGGCGACATGGCACGCGGTGCACGCGGCGACTGGCACGCGCCGCGCCATGAGCGGAGCGGAGGGTGCGCGGACAGGACAGGTGTGGGGAAGGGCCGGCAGGGCGGCAGGGCCAGCTGTCACTGGCGGCGAAGCGAACGGCTTCCAGCCATGCTTCCAGCCGTGCTTCCAGCGAGGCAAGCCGACTTGGCTTGGCCTGGGCTTGGCCCGCACGGCCGGCACTGCCGCAGCAAGCGACGCCAGTCACCGCGGACATGGCGGCGTTGCACGGCACCCTCTCAAAATTCTAATTAGTGCCATCCGGACCATCCGGAGGCATGGAGGCGGAGACGGAGATACATAAAAGTGCGGCGCTTCACCCCATCCTCCGCGTCACGCCACTGCCTCGAGAGGAGCGCGTCCTCCATTGGTCATTCCATAAATGAGCCGACGGGCCGCAGAACTGCCAGTGCGGTCTTATAATGTAAGGGCGGTCCGGTCGGCATAAGCAGGCAACATGGCCATCATCCACCACACTGCGCCGCACTGCGCCGCACGGCCCGGGGCCTTGGGCCGCCAATGAATAACCTGGCTGGCTACGTACGCCGCCACGCCGGGCTGTGTGGCGGTGCACGCTGGCTGACCGCTGTTGGCTGACAGGCGGCATCGATTGGCAGGCCAGTGGCAGGGCCCAGGCCTGCCGGCAGCCGGCAGGGTCATGTGTCATGTCCAGCCCGGCACACCGGCACGCAGCACCGCCACGGCCATCGTCGGCGGCGTCCTTATCGGCCTCGCGGCCTGCCGGGCCTGGCGGGGCCCTCTAGGCCGGCGCCGTGGTCGATGGTCGATACATCGATGTACAGGCGCTGCCTCACCTGTCCCAACAAGTGCGACGGTGCGACGAATGTTTTCGCTGGCTTTCCACAAAACGGGCAGCCCGGTGTTGCCGATTCGCGCGGCCCTCTGCCTCGGCCGCCCCTGGGCCAGGGCCCTGGCCGCCACTCACGCCCATTGACATGACGTGTATGACGCTGACGCGCTGACGTTTGACGTTCGGTTGGCTCACCTCTGCGGCTGCGCCAGTACAGCCTCCACAGCATGTAGGCGCCGCCCTCCAGGCCCAGCAGCACGATGGCAGTCCCGAGGACCGCGCCGACGACGCTGGCCGACGAGAAGCACTCGTCCGTGGAGGCATCGGCGGCGTCCACGCGCAGCGCGCAGCAGGCCAGGACGGCCGCCGCCGCCCACAGCGAGGACGGCGAGGACGCGGACGAGGCCATGGCGGTGCTGGAGATGGTGGCCGGCCGGTCGGCGCTGCTCAACGCTGCTGCTGCTGCTCCGGGCGCTGGTTTCTCCTCCGGGGATCCACGCTCATTCCGGGAAGGGAGGAAGGGCCTGCGTTCCGGACCGGTCCTTACAGCAGGGCACGGCGTCGCTAGGCACGGCCGGCACGGCGTACGGCAGACGCCACGGTCATCCCGACGGACATCCTCCTCCTCTCTCTAACCCTCGAAGCAAATCACTGCAAGGACACTGGTTGCATTCCACCGGCTCGCGCTCGCTGGGGGGCGGGGCCACCTGTATCAAACGCCCACGCGCTCGCACTCACATACACTAGACACTTGCACCACTCGCGCACTGGCTGCACTAGCAGCACGCGCAGCACGCCGGCCTGGGGCGTACCGACGCGACACGCAGCAACACGCAGCGACACGTAGCGCCGGGACGGGCGAGGGGCCGTGCGATTCGTGCGCCTGACGAGAGTCCACTGAAGGATGAACCATGCCGCTCTGCCGCGCCGCCACGCCGCCAGCCGCGCCGGACAGCCAGGGCTGGCAGCAGCGGCCGGGGAGCACCTGCGTCGCACCCAGCGTCTGTCCTTTTCCTACTTGGAGGGGAGGGGAAGGGAGGGGGGTCGCTCGGACGAGGAGAAGAAGAAGAAGCAGGCCGGCATGCTGAAGGGGAGCCACGCCCCGCCACGCTCCGGAGTGCGGTTTTGACCCCCACCCCCACCACGGCCCACCTCCCCCTCCACCTGTACCCACGCCTGAACATGCCCTCCTTGCCCCCGGCTCCCTTCATGTGTGTGTTTGATATTCCAGGTACAGTCTGCTCCAGAGCGACGCCTTGGCGACGCCGACGCCCCCCGCCTCTCGCGCCTCTCGCGGTGGCTGTCGTGCTTCGCGAGCTCCGCGTGCTCCTGTCGGGACAGCGTCCTTCCGATTCAGAAAAGCGTCGCGGCGCTCGCAGAGTTATCTCAAGGCTGCGGCGCGCCGAGCCGCCGAGCCGCCGAGCCGAAGCACACACGGGCTGGCGCTCAATCCCAGCGATCCTTGCCTTCCGTCCTGCCTTCTGCCTTCCTCCGGCTCAGCCCGTGTTTTGCTGTCCCGCGATAAGGCAGGCTTTTCGGCGGAATTAGGAACCGGTACCTTCGTACTTAGGACGCAGAGGGCCTGCAGAGGAGCCCCTTCCGCGCGACAGGCAGGCCGCCCACTTGCCGCGGGTGTCCGATCGGCTGCCTACCCACCGGCGCCAATGCGTCTCGGTAGTCTCGGTGGGCCCCCTTGGGGACTCGAGCGGCGACGCGGCGACGCGGCGACGCGGGGAACGCCCGATGCAGAATGCTCGCGCTGCGCGTGACTGCAGGTTTCAGGAGGGTTCCTTATCAGCGTGGCTTAGACCACAGTGACGGACTTGTCTGCTGGACTGCGGCATCGGACCGCAGGACGGCAGGGTCGAGTCCGCTCCGCTGGCCTGGCAGTTGGCAGCGGCAAATGAAACTAATGTCTGGCTGGACGACGAGAGGTGGGCAGGACCACACGGCAAGACCTCTCTGAATGGGTCGGGGTGGTTCACTGAGGACCATGGTTTGGCACCCGCACTCCGTGGTGCCATGGTCTCATGGTGGTGCGGTACGTCTTGGAACTTGAAATTCAGAACCACATGGCTGGAGGTTAGCAGAAAGTGCAGTACAGTAGCACAAGCGAGAGTGGAGGTGCACTCCGCAACGCTTCGCGCTGCTTCGCGCTGCTTCGCGCTTCGCACGGCGCCTTGGGACTCGCAGTCACTTATCCCTCTCCTCTTCGGCCGTTCGAACTCGTCCAGCTAACCGAAGCCGAGCCGAAGTCGGTGGAGCCGAGACCGAGCCGGCGAGGAAAACTGCGAATGTGCGTCACGGAGGCAAAGCCGGCAAAGGCGAGGCAAAAGCCAGAAAGGCGGTCGCGGCCGCCGGAGAAGGACCTGCAGGACGACTACGAGTGGAGTGGCAGTCGGCAGCCTGGCCCGGCCGCACTCGGCTCCACTCACTTCGCCTGCGCCTTCGCCGCCCACAAGTGCACCGGCCATGCTGGCGGCCATGCTGGCGGCCATGCAGGCGCAGAGGCTCCCGTTGGCGGCCCTGGCCCTCTGCGTGTTGCTGCCGCGGCCCGCCCAGGCCGCGGCCGCGAGCGCCGGCCTCCGCTTCCCCAAGGAGCAGCTCACGTCGAGTAAGTGCATCGCGTTCATCGGGTTACACGTTGTGTGGGAGTTTGAACTCAGGACGCGGCGTTTTGTGCAAGCCCCGACAACGAACGCCGCGATCCACCGGATTCTCTTCGCCGGGCGGCGGCACTCTGTCCAGAGGACAGCCTGAGAAAGCGCTTTGAAGCGGTGCCAGGGGACCTTGTCCCACACGAGCACGTTCGTGTGTGTACGTTGTTATTGCCGCTTTCGTCGGTGTGCTGTGTGCTGCGGACAGGGACGCATCGTCGATGCCGGGGCAGGTTTGTTGACTTTTCAACAGCCGGCCTGCAAGGGGTGGTAAAACACATACCGTCACCAACTCGCAGACACTGACGCCATGTTTTCGAATCGCAGCGGAGCCATGCTTCCACCAGGGGCGCAACGCGACGGGCCAGTGCCGCATGCTGACGACCTGCCCCAGCGCTCTGCGCGAGCTCAGGAACAACATGTATCCCCAGGTACAGTACTGGGCTGATTGGACTCGTCTCGCACCCTCGACGCGGTCCTGGCCGCTCCCGGGCGGCCTCGGGGGCGATCCCCACCTCACTCGGACGTCATCGCCATAAAAGTGACCATTTTGTTGCTGCAGCTGTGCGGCTTCGTCGGCCGCCAGCCCAACGTGTGCTGCCCCGAGGAGGACGCCGACAACCGCGTCATGGCGACGCCCCGACCGGGCGGCGTCGAGCCCGTCGAGCCCGTCACCTGCAAGCAGAGCCTGCAGCAACTGCAGCAGCAGAAGCAGCAGTGGGACTCCAACCGCCGGTACCGCCCCGGCGACATCGCCAGGCAAAGTGAGTAGAGTACCGAGGCCGGCTGGGCTGGGCCTTCCCCTTGGCCTTCCCCGCCCGCCGCGCCTCTGCCGCCACGGCCGCGTGGCCTTGGCGGCCTTCGACTGACACTGACGGGGACAGGGACTGCCTCGACAAAGTTAATAGCGGCGGTGACGTCACGGCGACATGGATTGGAGGAAGGTGATAATTGGCGATAATAAGCACCTCGCCGCCGAATCTCGATCCAAACGGACAAGTAATTGCTCCGTGAAACTAGGTGCCGCTAACGGGGCGCGAACCCGCGGCCGCCCGCTCGCGCCCGCTCGCGCTGACCACTCGCTTGTCTGCCGCAGAGTGCCGCGAGTACGTGCAGTACGTGTGCCAGGAGGAGCCCTCGGCCGCCCTCATGCTGGGCGGCACCGACGTCACGGACCGCTGCCACTACCGCGTCGAGCTCATCTCCGGGGGCAAGCAGGTGGACCCCATGGAGTTCCCGCACATGGTGAGAGGCGAGGGGTGCGTCGAGTCACAGCCTATCCGAGAGGACGTGAAATGCAAACACACTTCTCCCGACAGGTGCTGCTCGGCTACGGCGCCAGGAAACAGATCGACTACGCGTGCGGCGGCACCCTCATCTCCCCCAACTTCGTCCTCACGGCGGCGCACTGCCAGATCTCGCGGTCCAGCGGGTGAGCATGGCGGTCGCCGGCAGTCGCCGTCCTCGAGTCAATGTTGAGGTGACTTGCTCGCACTCACGTGCTGCTGTTGCTGTCCGGCAGGCTGGCGGTGCGGTGGGCGTTGCTGGGGGCGCTGAACCGCACGGCCGCGCCCCACCCCAACGCCTCGCCGCAGCTCCTGGAGGTGGCGGAGATCATCACGCACCCCAACTACCGCAGCAGCCTGCGCTACCACGACATCGCCCTGCTCCGGCTGCAGCGGTGAGCGGCGCAGTGCGGCGCAGTGCGGCGCACCGACTTTCCACCTCAAACTCGCGGCGCGCGGTGGCGCGTTCTAACGGGACTGGTGCTTGCTTTGCTTGCTTTGCAGGCCGGCGGTCATCAACGACTACGTGCGGCCTGCGTGCCTGCACACGGACTCCGACGGCGACCCCACGGGGCTGAACGCCATCGCCACGGGCTGGGGCGCCACCGGACCCTGTAAGGCCCACGTCGTCCCGCCGCTATCCGCGCGCTCAAACGCCACACTGACGTTTGCTGAATCGTTTGTTGGTTGCAGCGGAGGACCAGAGCGAGCACCTGCTCAAGGTGAACCTCGCCGTGATCCCCACGGACCACTGCCGCAGCGCCATCAACGTGACGGCGGACAGCAAGCTGAGTCGCGGCATCATCGACTCGCAGCTCTGCGCCGGAGGAGCGTCGCCCAAAGACACCTGCCCGGTAATCCCCTCAATTCGCCTACACTGCGAATCAGCCGATCGGAATTCGGTTTTCCCGTTCCAAGAAGTAGATGGCTGCACCCATGCGGTGCATTGATAAATGCCTCTCGCTGGAGAGTGCCGCTCTATGGCAGTCTGCCGAGTGACGCAGCTGCCTGCAGCGCTTCGTCGCTCTGTCCCTCTCGTACCCTTGCGGCACGGCCTTGCGGGATGTCTAACACGAGTTCGAGAGACACAGAGCGACCAAGTCGCCGGTTGTACAAGTTGTACAGTGCAAGGAACGCCACAGCGCGTCTCTGGGGCTTCCCTCCGGACTCCAGGCGCCAGGCGGGAACCTTACAGCGAGATTGAACCGTTGGCGTGTTCGTCTGTTCGCAGGGAGACTCTGGCGGCCCCCTGCAGGTCCCCACCAACGTGGACCCCTACTGCCAGTACAGGGTGGTCGGGCTGGTGTCCTTCGGCCCTCCCTGCGGCATCGGCCTGCCCGGCGTCTACACCAGGGTGGCCACCTACGTGCATTGGATAGAGAGCGTGGTGTGGCCTCAAGAAGACTGAGAGCAGAAAACCATCGATTAATTTATTACTTAATGTTTAATGATTGTTTTGAGTTGTCGAGCGTACGAGCAAGAACAAATAGAGTGAAGAAAACGACTATATAGGTGGTTGTGCCACTTTTTGTGTTGAGGCGGCAAGAGAAGAACAACATAGAAACAAACCCGAAGCAAACGAAGGATGGCTTGTATTACCGACAACAAAAAACAAAACAACGCAATAATAGTCTTCTTTTGAAATCACCTTTGCAAAATTAACTATCAAAGCCAAACCTTCCCGGTGAAAGCCCAAACTCAAATAAGAGCCCGCCAAAACTTATCCCAGGCTTCTACGAACCTACCAACATGCACGTGTCAAAAGAAGTAAAGAAACTCACTAAATCAGAACTAGAACTTGACTTAACTGTCGCTAACACCACCACGCCACTCCAAAACTGCGTAAATAAATCACACATAGAAAATGCGTGCGGACCTCGCACCAAATGACAGGCACAAACAGAACCTTCAGTTTCGTGCTGGTGCGTTGGCCAGGTGATGATGCATCGTACTTTCCCTCCCCTCCCCCTCCTCCCCCCTCCACCTCGACCTCTCTACTTATCTATTTTGTTTTATCCAAAGGAGTGTTTAGATATGTGTTTAGTTGTTTTCATTTGAAAAGGAAAAAAATTTCCATCACTTGGAGACTGGATCTATCTGTTTACAACTTGGGTGAGCTATTTTAAAACATGGATTAGTAAACCTTATGATCTACGCAACATCGTACGAGAACTTAAGTACGACCATAACCTCCTGGGGCAAACTTTATCTTAACCTTATGTCTTTCCCTTCCTTCCTGAAAAATTATGCCTCCTTGGTATGATTTTATTATTTTACTTGTAAGCTTTTCCTTGATATTCACACAAATTTCACCTTTCTAATTATTTGGTTTGATGCATGACAGATGCACCAGTGTATGTCACTACTCACCACCCCTCACATTTTCTGTATTATCTCTTTTCTAATGTTGGAAACGGAAGTTTTTCCACTTTAAATCCATAGTTGGATATACTTACACTTCACATTGTTCAATCACATTGGTGTTAATGTCAGAAAATGGTTAACCTGGAATATTTTACGTGCATTTCAGGTTATGCCTTGGAATTTCTGATCAAAGGAAGACGAAATGGAGCTGTGTCAGAGTTTATTGACGTGGCTTCACACTTTAAACTTATCTGCACTCCACTCTACACCTCAAGAAACTAGCGATGGGGTTGCTGTTGCTCAAGCGCTGAACCAAATAGCTCCAGAATGGTTCTCGAACTCATGGCTTGCTAAAATAAAAACTGATGTCGGGGACAATTGGAGACTGAAAGTTAGCAACTTAAAGAAAATAGTGGAAAAAATTGTTGATTTGTACCAAGAAGGCTTTAATCAAACCCTCCCAGACAGCGTCAAGCCAGATGTTAATCGCATTGGCGAATACTGTGATGAGGGAGAATTGGGAAAATTATTGCAGCTAGTTTTAGGATGTGCAGTAAACTGCAACCAAAAGCAAGATTATATCACTGCTATTATGGCAATGGAAGAAGATGTCCAGCAAGTTATTATGCAGAGTATTCAAGCATTAGAAGGCAATGTTGGAAGTGCAACAGCCAGCTTAGCACCTAGTTTGGACCCTGATGGTCCTCAGTTAACAAGAGTTCTTGCTGAACTTGAGCAGGCTGTGGAAGCAAGAGATGAACTTGCCAGAAGGTGCCAAGAGCTTGACCTTCAGGCAAGTTTACTGCAAGAAGAAAAAGCCAGCATTCTCCAAGAAAATCGCCGTGTTCAAGAACGTCTTCGCCAATTGGAAGCTGAGGAAGCTAATATTGGAAGTGGGAATCGTCTTCAAGAGCTCAGAAAGCAACTTGATTCTGTTAAAGAGGTATTTTATTCTTTTTAGTTGCTTTTCTGAGATTTTTCTATATTTTTCTTGCCTTGATGTGTCAATATTTAATTATTTTCCACCATTTGTAGGAACTGTACAAGGTAGAAACTGCAAGAGATGATTATCGTGCTAAAGTGGAGCACCAGGATCGCGAACTTCAAGATTTGAGGATGAGAACTGATGAGCTTCAGCGCAAGGCAGAAGAGGCACAACACCTCAAGGACGAAGTTGATATTTTACGTGAGACTGCAGATCGAGTTGGTCAATATGAGGCAACAATTGCAAGCTACAAAAAGAAACTTGATGAAGCCAGTGATATGAAAAGGCAGCTGAAACTTCTAGAGGACAAAAATTTAGAACTAGTTCAGCAAAACTTGCAACTGGAGGATGATGTGAAGAAATCTGGAACCTGGAGGCCTCAACTGGAACAATACAAGAAACAAGTTGCTGAATTGCACTCTCAATTGGCTGAGGTAAGTTGTGCTAAAATATAATTAATTTCTTAAAGATGTTTTTAATTGACTTTCATTGCTCATCAATTTTGTTTTGAAACAGGAAACAAAACGAGCTGACCGAGTAGCATTTGAAAGTAGAAAGGCTGCAGAAAAATTGACTGCTGCTCAAAGAGAAAAGGAAAGACTTATCCTGGAGCGTGATACATTGAGAGAGAACAATGAGGAACTGAAGTGTCTGCAGATGCAAGCTCAACCCACAACAGTTTCACCTGGTGCTCATTCTGCTGAAGATGACATGTCTGAAGGGATGATTCCCCCTGATGTAAGACAGCGGCTAATGCGTCTTGAACATGAGAACAAATTGTTGAAACTCAACCAACGTGGCCCAGAGGAAGAGAAAGTAGCCATTGTTCAAGCCCTCCTAGATGATACCAACCAACGCAATGAAATGCTTACTGCTGAAAACAGAAGAATGAATCAACGTATGATTGAGCTAGAGAGTCAGGTAAGTTGATACATCATTTATGTAGAAATGAAAACTTTTAAGACTCGTCTTGAAACTTTGGTTTGAACTCGTCTTGTATTTTGCCCATGTAGGTTAGTGAATTAATGGAGAAGCATGCGGAAGGGGGAGCAGACCTCAAGAGTCATGTTCATGAACTAAGAGTACAACTGAAGCAAGCTCAAGATGAAAAAGATCGTCGAAACAACCAAATGGAACAGAAAGAAGTTGCATTAGAGGAAAGCCGACACACCTTCCAGGAGAGTTTAAAGAAGAGCCGTCAAGAAATTTTATCTCTTGAGGAAACATTAAAACGTAAAGATGTTGAGTATCAAAATCTAGAAGAACAATTAAAGCGTAAAGATCAAGAAAAGCAGGCGATTGAAGAAAAATATAAGAGGTGTATGGAGAAAGCTAAAACTGTCATTAATAGTCTGGAGCCTAAAAAGGTACTTCCCAACATGGATGTTAATGTTCTTTGTAGCCAGTTAAGTGAAAAAGATCAAATGATTGAAGAACTGCAAAGGAACAAAGAAAAGTGTAAACAAGAAATAGAGTTGGAGGGCCGGCTTATGAGCTCTGCTCTTCACACTCTCGGGCTCAGTCGCCATAGAGAAGCTGTAGATCAACATTTAGCTGCGCTTAATTCTGGTCAAGGTCAGTCATTTTTAGCTCGTCAGCGCCAACCCACTAATCGGAGGCGAACAACTCCTCATAATTACAATTCTAAGTAGAAAGGTGATATGGTGAGACAAATACATCTCTATGTTTTATTAATTATGTTATTTTACCCTGTGACTTGATGAGTAATCTTTTTAACTTGTTATCTTGATTTAGACTTAATCAATGTGGGTGTAACAGCATTATTGTTATTATTTCTATATGTGTAAGTTGCAGTCCTATTATTACATTTGTATTGTGTGTGCATGTACAATGCCATGGTGATTTTTAAAAGTGAATTTATATTGTTATTCTGTGGTTTTTTATCTTGTAACATGTAACAGTGTAGGAATTTCAAATTGTAAACAGATATCAATTTTCAATTCTACACAGGCTTTAGGTGAGTTGTGTGGTAATTATGTATGTTGTATTTTATTTTAGGAGCTTAGATTGTTATTTCCTATTCAATGCTATGATTGAGATTATTTTGTTGAAGATTCACTGAAATATATATTTTCAAAAGCATCAAACCAAAAACTGACTCTTTGATTCTTCAACTAGCCATCAGAAACAATAAGTAAAAAAGCAACAAATTGGATGTCACCTGTAGCAAGATCAATTCCATAAGAGGGGAAGTTCCAGTAAGGGATGTTAATTTCTCATATCTGATTGGAAACATGAGACAAATTTTTCATCACCTTTGAAACAGCTGAAGGTCTAAAAAGTAAACAGTTCCCACGAGCAGACGCTCCGGGTGCTATTTCTGTTGAATAATTTCTTGAAAAGCATGTGCAGCTCTAATCTTTTTAAGATTTCATGATAAAAATTCCAATTTCTGAGAAGTAAGAGGCCTGCTTAAGTTATCTTGCACTTCAGTTATTTCACTCCAAGGTAATGAAGGTTATTGCAGTATTTTTCCCCTACTTTTCGAATTATATCACAATGACTAATTTGATTTTCAAATTTTAATTCAACTTTATGCTTCTTTCAGTTCATGATTCTCTGAATTTGATCTTAATGGGTCTATTGGACAAGCTTGTGACCCTTTTTGGTTTACGCAAACAAGAAGTAAAAGTATTGGTCGTGGGATTGAACAACAGTGGCAAAACTACTGTTCTAAATCATTTCAAAGCTGAAGATGACAAGTCTACAGAGATCGTTCCTACAGTTGGCTTCAACATCGAGAAATTCAAAAGTATGTAGATTTTCAATAATTTGTTTACAACACAAAAGAAGGTTTTGTAAAGTTGCAAACGAATCGTTTCCATCTTGTTTTGAAGCGCATACACCTATGATTAAGTGCCCAAACTATTCTGGTTTTGCTCAGGATGAATGGAATAAGGTCAAATTAAAGATATCTAAGTGGGAAAAATGTTTCAATCAGACATCATATTTTTTTCATAATGGATTTAGGCATGTCTATCCCTACTATCATACATATGACATATTTGTAAAACATAGGTGGTTGGGTCAGACTCTAGAGCAGGTATTGAAAGCTACTTTTTATTCCATAATGGATGAGAATTGGGTTGAAAGGGATATTCTTAATGGATCCATAACTGTTAATGGGTCTCTGACATCAAAGGATTATGTAATATCAAAGCTAGGAGACAAAGTGCAACATGGAATGCATCGGCATGAGCTACCTGTAAGCGATCTAAAAGTTGATATTCTGCATAAAGATTCGCATATCATTGTAATAAATAAACCTCCTAGCATACCAATACACCCAACTGGTAGATATCAGCACAATACCCTTCTGTTCCTTTTGGCCCGAGAATACCAGATGCTAGATTTACATGTTTTTCATAGACTAGACATGGGAACAAGTGGTGTTATGATCTTTGCAAGAAACAAGTCAGCAGCTGCTTATTTTGCCTCTCAAATGAAGCACAGAGAGGCATCTAAAATCTATGTTGCAAGGGTGGCAGGTAAATTTCCAGAAGAAAGAGTAACTTTTGATGGAGCTCTTACTCCTATTGACTTAAGAACTCGAATCATGAAGGTTAGTGGTGAGGGGAAGCTTTCTAAATCAACCTTTCAACGGTTGAGCTACAACACTCAATCGAACACAAGTGTTGTCCTATGTAAGCCTTTGACGGGTCGCACTCATCAGCTGCGAGTCCATTTGCAGTACCTGGGTTTTCCCATCCACAATGATCCACTTTATAACAACCCAATGTATGGTCCAGAAAGAGGAAAGGGAAGTCACCAGGTTCGCTCTTCTGCAGAAATTATAAAGGCTTGGGAATCAGAGAGGACACGATGGAACTGTAAAGAAGATGTGAGACCAGGAGAAATAGTCTATGAGCCTTGGAACGTATTAGCAAAGGGACCTATTGTTGACCCTTCAAAAGCTGTGATTGACAGTAATTGTGAGGTGTGCCCTTTGCATTTGATTATAAATATGAAAGACTTTGGGTTTCACCTCCATGCTTTAGAATACAGTGGAAATGATTGGTGTTTCTCTTCACCAATGCCTGAGTGGGCTCATCCTGATTGGAAACCAGACATATAAAAGTGATTTTATGTTTTTTTTTTTTGTAACTTGTTAAAATGATGTTAGTTTTTCTCATGCATAATTATTTGTTATAAAAATTCTACTTATTGCAATAAATATATTTTTCAATGTGAAGTGCCTTTTATGTTTGTTATTGCACCATTTTAAATCATTTTACAAACGCACATTGACGGCACACCAACAGTGTCATTCCAGTTTGAAAGTCAGACTTTTGCCTGTGGTTTGCATTACGGAAAGTAATTCTCCAAGTAAAGTGAAAATGGCCCTGTTGCAGACCAAAATGTCGGCTTCACTGCGCTGGACATGTCCGGTCAGGGCCGCTACCGCGACCTGTGGGAGTTCTACTACAAAGACTGCCAGGGCATCATCTTCGTGGTGGACTCGAGCGACCGGCTGAGGCTGGCCGTGGTGCGCCACGAGCTGGACCTGCTGCTGCAGCATCCGGACGTGGCGGGGCGCGCGCTGCCCATCCTCTTCCTGGCCAACAAGATGGACCAGCGCGACGCCCTGTCGTCCGTCAAGATCGCGGCCGGGCTGGGGCTGGACCGCATCCTGGACAAGCCGTGGCACATCTGCGCCTCCAACGCCGTGACGGGCGAGGGGCTGGAGGAGGGCGTCACGTGGTTCACCCAGCAGGTCCGCCAGGTCGGCCAGCCGGGCAACCGGCCCAGCCGAGGAGGGCCTCTGGCCGCCGCCAAGTAGATAGTCACTCTGTCACTCAGTGGCGTGCGCACAAATTTTGAAAGGGAGGGGTCAGGCCATGCTTTTTGCCTACTTACAGGGGGAAAGTGACGCAATTTGCCTACCTTCCTGGCGGCTTCTAGTGGCCAATGGGGGGGGGGAGCATGACCCCCCCCCTCCCGCGCACGCCACTGCTGTCACTCCGTCCGTTTTCTTTCTATTTTTTTGAACTTTTTTATTTTTAATTTTTGACACATTGTTTCACGTTCGACTTTATTTTGTGTTTTTGAGTGCACAGACTGACGTTTCTTTTGCAATTTTGAATAATATGTTATGTGATATTGTTCTCACATTTGTCTGAATACCATTAGTATATTCTTGACGTTTCCATCTTACTCTTTATGCACCTCACTATGTAATTTGTGATTGGACTATTGATCTCACAGACTCCGTCCTTTTAAAGAAACCTGTGGTGGTACTATTTATTTTCTAGTCCTTGTACCAAGATGATGTGATACTTTTTCTAAAAAAAAAATACTGTCATGTAACTACACATTTTTGTGTAATAAAATGTATTTCAGAAGTGGAGTAACTGAAAGTTACTGAATGTCCGATCTGTTCCAATTCTTCATCAATAGGACTGTTGACTGTTTTCAGTGATTGTACCCAGTGTACTTGTATGCGTGATAATACAGGTCTAGTCGATTAAAAGTACGATTCTAGTCTCATAAAAGTGCTTCCTTCTCTCGGTATTCTGGCCTTCCCCCTGCGCAAATAGCTAAATACGAGAAGTATTTTGAATCATACAGTGCTTGGCGGGTAAATAAAGCAGAAAGCTATCCTGTGAATAGACGAAGGGAATATCTATGGAAAATCGACCAGTCAAAACTCCCGTAAACATAACCTTACAGTTTCGTGTCCATGTGTTGTTGTGACTCGGAGAAGTATTTGCAAGGACGAGCCAGTTTCTAAATCTTTAGCTGTACCAAATACACTCGGTGATACCACTTGCATGAGTATCGGTCAACATGTCATTCTTTGTTGACGTCAAAGGTCAAATTGATCCTAGTAACATTAGATCTAGTGATGATGAGAGTGACGATGGTAAGGAATGTTGTATCTGCTTGTGAAACAAATTTATGTTACTGTGGAATTTATTATTTTAATATTTATTCACTTTTGAAACTTGCAGATTTCACATTTATTCCTATGCCACAGAAATATAAGCCAGCCACTGTCACTTCAAGGTCTCAGCCATCTGTCAGAGCTTTTAAACTAGTTGTATCAAATTATTGTTTCATTCCTCACTATTGTTTTCTTTTTTTCAGGTCCTCAAAGGATAAAGAATATGACTTAGATGACACATACTTAGACTTTGGAGAATTGCCATCTAAAACGTTACAATCTCAGCCATCCAAAAATTTACAATTGCGCAGTGATTCGCCCAAAGTATCTACTTGTCAAGAATTACAATCTTGTGAAATGGTCAGGCGTCTTGCTGATCCAGATAAAGCATTGGAAAAAAGTGTCCTGCAGCCAGGTCTCGAAAAACTACATTCACTTCCATCATATGATGAAGGACGCCGTCTAATTGCAAGAAAGCGAAAGGTACATGATTTTATGTTCCCAAGCTACATACAACCATTTTGAAAGAATCAACTGTTGGCATGTACATCTTTCTCTATTACAGGAGGAAAGAGCAAAATCAACTGGCAAAAACTGGTATAACATGAAAGCTCCTGAACTTACAGAAGAAATGAAAAATGATCTAGAAATCCTCAAAATGCGTTCCTCTCTGGATCCTAAACATTTCTACAAGAAAAATGACTTCAAGACACTCCCTAAATATTTCCAGGTTGGAACTTGATTGTCATAGTTTTAGCAGAGTTTTGCTTTATTTTCACTTGCAAGAGTTATTGATAAATGTTTCTTTTAGGTTGGGCGTATTGTTGAGTCTGCTGCTGACTTCTATCACAGCCGCATTCCAAAGAAGGATCGCAAGAAGACTCTTGTTGATGAACTCCTGGCTGATGCTGAATTCCAGAAGTCCACCAAGAAGCGCTATGCAGAGATAATAGCAGACCAGAAGAAGACGCACTACAAAGCACACAGACAAGCAAAGCGACTGAAAAAGAAACATTAAATTAACATTTAATTAAAAATTTTGCCTAAACAATATTTTTCGCTTTATCAAATTTATAATAGTGTAAGAATAAATAAAAAAAACATCCTTCTATAACTCTGTTGCCTGTTTATTTGTCCTGTACCTTTGGAAGTGAGTTTGAAACTCAATTTAGTTGTTCTAAACACAGACAGGCAAGAGAGTCTGATGCAAATGACTCCGGCGGCCATACGATCATGTGTGGTCTAGCCCTTAATGATAGTGGTAATGGTCGAGGTAGGCAGCCGCCCGACTAACGTGACAGGGAAGTGCGACTGGCTTGCCTACCGGCAGGCGTTAGAGAGCCGCCTTCGAGGTAGGCAGCCGCCCGACTAACGTGACAGGGAAGTGCGACGGGCTTGCCTACCCTACTTATGGCAGGCGTTAGAGAAGCGCTCGACCACCGTGTCCGGGCTGCGACAGGCGTTGGAGACGACTCTCTGGGCCCTGCCCGCGTGCATTCGCCGATGAGTCATTTTGTTTTTATTTTTAAGGCGCAACCTGTCAGCTTGCTGGAAGGATTGCCCAACTGCTCAGCGAGGACTGGAGACGGCGCGGGTGCCCGGAGCGTGTGGTTCCTTTCAGCCGGTCGGGATATGCAGGCAAATGAAGGTTGGCTGCACTGGACTGGTTGGCGGTCACGCCATACCGTACCGCCCAGTCCGGGGTCCGATCAAGGGTGCCGCCGTACCGCACCACCGTGGCCAAGGCCAGCCAAGGTCTCGCCTCGCCCGGAACAGGATCCAAAGTGGTGGCAAAGCCCGCCGTCTGCTGCGAGGCTCTGAGGCGGTGACGGTCAAAGCGGCGTGGTGCCGGCCTGCAGGCCAGCGAGCGTGCGTTGCCCCGCCTGCCCCCTCCCTCTTGGACGCGGCAGCGCGCCGCAGCGCCCTGGCTCACTTGCCTGCACTCGCTATTAGAGCTCGTTAACGGCAGTCACAGCATTTACATGTATTGGACACGATGGCAGATTTCGTCAGCGGGGACGCGTGCAATGATTAAAACTAAGCGCACGCGACTGGTTTCGAAACGATAAAAGTGGGTCAAGTTTGTTTGGTCGCGAGCACTTGCCACGTGTAACAAGAAGGCCATTTTGGGGGAAAGAAGTGAGGTGTATTCAATAATCTTTGGTGTCACAAATGCAAATGAAAGGAAACAAATCTAAATAATAATTATTAGTTAGAGAACGAATTTGTCCGCTGCCAGATAGGTAGGTTGTGCGTCCCAGCCCGAGGTGGTCCGATGCTCCATGCGACCCTCACTCTCACACCGCCCCGAAGATGCCGCCGGAAACAGGCACCTCCGCGCCGGTCATGTAGCTGCTGCGGTCGGATGCCAAGAAGACGACCACCTCGGCGATCTCTGCGGATTGTGAGAGGTCGGTTACTTCAGTCAACATCGAGTTCTTTCTGCTCTTTTGTCCATCAAAAATATTCTCACCCTCCGGCTGTGCCATCCGACCCAGTGAGGTCATGCTCTTGCACATTTGCTCGCGGACGCCGGGTGGTGCGCCCCCCTGGGTCATGGGGGTGTCCACCATACCGGGCAGCACCGAGTTGCAGCGGATGCCCAGCCTGCGAGCAGTCGAGGAAGTCAACGACCCGAGGAGCAGCATGAGTTACGTCAACCTGAATCATCATGACTTCAAACTGGTCGCCTACTCAAACTGATATAGGGACATTCACGGGAATTTAGTCATTTTGACTTTAATATGACTTTCGGGTAATCCTCCAGGAGGAGCTGGGAGTTGAGATATCTAGGGAGTCCTAAGCGCAGTTTGAAAGCTGTTTGGCGAACTCACGGTGCCCACTCCCTGGAGGCGGTCTGGCTGAGCACGCTCACGGCCCCCTTGGTGGCGGCGTAGTGGCCGCGCTTCGGGAAGCAAGTCAGTCGGCCCACGCTGCTGATGTTGACGACGGCACCAGGCCGCCCCGCCTCCTTCAGTGCGCGCACGAAGGACCGCATCACCAGGAACGTGCCCTGCAACGTCACGACACGGTGCAGTGGCTCGCAGTGGAGGCGGGGCCAGTGGCCAGTGGGCTAGCGCCGTGGAGGTAGGCAACACATTCGCCTCGCCGTCGCTAGTATCTTATCCCAGCTGAGACAGGAGAGTCCCAGGGGCGCGGAGACTCTTCACCTTTGCCGAGAGCTCCTCGGAGAGCTTCAGCAGCTCGTACCTGCCACCAGCCCTGGTGAGGTGTGCCTCCGCACCTCCGCACGGCGATTGCTCGACCTCTTGGCGCCAACCTCTGTTGTTTTACTACTCCATTACTCCCCCCTCTTTTTCTCTGATGCAGGTGCTCGAATTGGATGTCACTGTCGCGTGAGAAACAAAGAAGTCCGCGTTATCGCCAAACCCGACCGCCAGATTAATGTCAGTGAACTCGCGGCCGAGGCGCTATCGCCGTTATCAGTTCACTCGACTCGCGTCGCCGCCGCGGAAGGGAGAAGAGTGTCCTGTCAAACGCCATGTCTCAAGTTGTTGCGTTTTTCCGACGTTTTTCTCGGTTCCGCGGCTTGTACCCGGTTCAGGGCCCCAGCTTTCGTCCCCGTCGAATAAAAACGAAGCCTGTATGCTCGAACGATTTCGGCAAGCTGTACAAAGAAGGGAGCAATAAGAGAGACAGGCCACGCGATCGGTTCATTACCTGCGGCGAATCCAAAGACTTTCCAAAGCAACAAAAATTGCCACAAAAATGTAACTTTGTATGAAAATTAGGCTGACACAATGACGTGTTTTCCTGCACTCCGTTTCCGTTACTTTGGACGCCCTTTGGACCCACCTCCACGTTGATCCTGTAGGCGGCACGCAGCTCCTTGACGTCCAGGTCCAGCAGGGCAGTCACGGGCCCCATGATGCCCGCACTGTTGACGATCACGTCGGCTGGCCTGCCGAAGAAGTCCTGCACGGCGCGCACCGCGTCCTCCACCGCGGCCTCGTCCGTCACGTCCAGGCGCAGCGTCAGGTGGCGGCGGGCGTCGTCAGCCTCGGCCAGAAGGGACAGCGTCTCCGCGACGGCGGCCTCGTTGATGTCGGCCAGCGCCAGGAGCGCCCCCTCGCGCGCCATGGCCAGGCACGTGCTGCGCCCGATGCCGCTGCCTGCACCTGCAGGCGAAGAGCCGATGTTGGAGGCAGGGCTGCACCTTGCTGCACGCCGCCCCTGGGGACGGCCACCTTGCAGCATCCCTGCCGCGCGGGGAGGCAGAGCCGGGCAGACCCCACCGCGGTGCTTACCCGTGACGACGGCCACCTTCCCCTGCAGCATCCCAGCGCCGTGCGGGAGCCGGCTGTTGACGGCCGCGCCGGTGCTTGTCATGATGTCGGCCATTGTGGTGCTCGTCGCGCCGCAATCGCCGCAATGACCGGGGCTGCCTGGGGCCTGCCTGCAAGTCCACTGAACACTGAACCGCCTCGCCTCGGCCTGACAGGACGGCCGTCAGCCCCTCTCTGCGGCGACGGCAGCGACGGCGACCCGGCGCGGCGCGCGGCCACCAAAGGGGGCAACCCGGTGTGACGCTGTGCTGTGCGACGCCATGGCGACGCGCAAGTAGAGGGGCGTTGGGCTGCGTGCGAATGGAGTCTGCCCGATTGCCGCCCGCTCTTCGACAATAAACGAAAACATTGCGGGCAACACGGTAAGCTTCATTCGTTAACCGGTTTGGCCGTTCCCGTCCTTGGCCTACCTCACTTTGGAGTCGGGGTTCTGGATAGGACGGGGGGCGTGGTGGTGGTGGTTGATGGGCAGGTGCGCTGCGGGGGCTGTGGGAACCGCCTGCTGGGTAGGCCACCCATCAGGCACCTGTACACCTGTACTGATGGAATTCTTGCACCATTCGCCGCATCGAGCATACACGGAGATAAAGAGTATCAGGGCGCAGCCGAGCGGACTGGTTTCAGTTTCAGTTTCGGTTTGACGGGTGCATTCATTCCAGCCCGCTTCTGCTTAGTTCCACTTTTCTCCGCTTTAGTCTCTCAGCGCTCGAACCCAACATGAGAGTTTGGTTGTATTTTTCTGAAAGAAACGGGCTTTTCTCTCCATAGTGTCTGTCAGTGTTCAGTCTGCATTTGTGGTGAATTCTTTAGCGGACTTTACTCCAGTTCTGTTGACTTTTTTTACTGTGACCTCGGCTGTTTGACATTGGTGCGCTGTCTCTCAGCCAACAGTTGGCAGAAGAACCACAGTTAAAAACGAAAACACTTGATGTTTTTCATCGCAGGGAGCAGGGAACACGGCAGGAGGAAGATGTCGACCTCTTCGTTGGAGGATAAAATAAATAGTATTCAAGCGCGATTTCTCCCGACTAGGCCAACAAACATTCCGAGTTTACGGCCCGGTTCTAGCAACGATGGTCATGGGAGTGAAAGGCCTGCTCGGCCAAGTAGATGTGAGTATCATGGAGTGTGGACTCATCCCATCAGTCCCCTCCTGCTTTTGTCTCGAAATTGAGTTTGAAGACACATAGTTGACAACTCAAGCTTTTTTATGCACTTCATTGTCAGTATATGTATTGCTGACATTGAACTGACTGTCTTGATGAGCACAGCCATGTCAGGCAGGTCTTCTGACCAGGCTTTGAGTACTCAAGAGCCATTAACCTATGTCCTCAAATTTCAATGCAACACTCCATTCTTATTGAAAATATTTGTTGATATTTACAATTTAGCAACGTGTTAGTTCAATGTGTTCAACTCAAGATTGGTGGGGGTAATTTCTGGAGTTTCCTACGCGAACACAACTGTAATGGCAGACATAACCTCAACAGTTTATGGCCCTCCCCTGTTAATCTTAATTTGTTACCATTTTCATTGAAAAAAATAGCTCTTCTTTATAAAATTAAGGCTTGGAAGGTGTTGTTTAATATTTTGCTGTTACTCATATTTCAGTATCTACCACTGGTCAGGGGACTCCAAAGAGACCTATGGAATTACCATTTTCCCAGCCTAAACCTCAGCAAACCACCAAAGAAGATGATAACCGATGGCAAGAAATCATTAAAAGAAGTGGTCTTCTCAAAATCAATGGACAGGTTATTAAATTTCTTTGTAATTGGATTTGTAATATGGCTTCATGGTATTAAGTACTAGTATTAATGTTTGCCTGTCATCCTCAGGAATATCGCACGCAAGTTCATGATTTGGAGCGTTTGGGGGAGCTAGGGAATGGCACTTGTGGTCATGTAGTGAAAATGCTCCACAAGCCAAGTGATGCTGTAATTGCTGTAAAGGTATAGTCCTATAGATTTCAATTAATATCCTGTATTATTTATTAAAATCATTGTTTGGCTTTCATAATAGCTCTGTCATTCTTTTTTTTCATTCTAGCAAATGAGGAGATCAGGAAATAGTGATGAAAATAAACGCATCACTATGGACATAGAGGTAGTACTCAAGTCAGACTGTCCTTTCATTGTACAATGTGTAGGCTGTTTCATCTTGGAAGCTGATGTCTGGATTTGCATGGAGCTTATGGATACATGTTTTGACAAGTTACTGAAACGCTTAAGGAAACCTATTCCAGAACATATTCTTGGCAAAGTTACTGTAGCAGTAAGTTTATCTAAAATTTTGTATCTTTCTTTTTGACGTTAGTAAAGTCCTTATAATAAACAAATTGTGACTTTCTATTTTCAGACAGTGAAAGCTTTAGATTATCTGAAAGAGAAACATGGTGTTATTCATAGAGACGTTAAACCTTCTAACATTTTACTTGATGAAAGAGGGAATGTGAAACTTTGTGATTTTGGAATTTCTGGTCGTTTAGTTGACTCAAAGGCTCAAACTAGGAGTGCTGGCTGTGCTGCATATATGGCGGTAAGCAAAAGTTTCTTGCACTTCTTGGTCTCTTTTCTTTATTTCCAATACTCACTGTGACTGATGTTTTGTAAATCATTAATCCTTCCTTTACAGCCTGAAAGAATTGACCCAAGTCGACCTAACTATGATATTCGGGCTGACGTTTGGAGCCTTGGCATCACACTTGTTGAGCTGGCTACAGGAGTTTTCCCTTATAGCAATTGTGTCACAGACTTTGAAGTTCTCACAAAGGTTCTCACAAGTGATCCTCCTAGACTTCCTCTTGATCAAAATTTTAGTGAAGAATTTCGTGATTTTGTCAACTGTTGGTATGTATGAGTTATTGTTATTGTCCACCAGGTGAAGTGGAGCTAACATCCCTGCTGATATATGGCTCTTCACTTTTCCTGTGTTTCAGTTTAACTAAAGACTACACGCATAGACCAAAGTATCGCAAGTTGCTGCTTCATCCATTTATAAAGAAGTTTGAAACAACAGAAGTCAATGTGGCTGAATGGTATGCATCGGAATTAAATACTCCACCTAAAGAACTTCCAGCTGCGCCCAAACCAGTAAAAAACAGCTCTGTGAATCAAATATCTCCAACTCAAATTTCAACGTCTTCAACTACAACCACTACCAACTGCTCTGTCACTTCAGGTCCAGCCTTGAATTCCCCTGTTAGAAGGTAGGTTTCTATAAAGAGGTTTTTTCATAATTTTTTGCAATACCATCCTGCTTATTGCTAGGAATAGTATGTAGATTTTGGCAATCAAGCAATCTTGTACTGAAAGATTACTTCTATCATATGAAAGATCCTATTTTCTTTTGTATTAACCTTGGCTTTAATGAATTTGTTGATTTGTAATTGTTTGAACTATAGTAATTGTGGCATGTGTTTGAATTAGTGAAAACTACTTTCTACCCTGCAGCTTCCTTTTGTTGTTTCAACCTCAGTTTCATTGATTTCTTTTTTCCCCATTTATTTATCTTACAAAGTAATTTGAAGTGCTGGATCTTGGTGATTTTGACTGGCCTCATGACTGATTGTGGGTGAAATGTTTTTTCATAGATGCATGACATTTTATAACCTTCTTGAGTGTAACTGTTAGTGGTGATGGGTGATGGTAATTAAATTCCTCCCCCCTGCCCCGCAACTTATTTTAAATCTGCCTGGATATGTTTTAGAATTTGGGGATTCCAGGAGTAATATAATTTTATGGAAGTGTTCATGTCCTGTGGCCATTCAAAATGTCATCTTGCTGAACGGCTTGGTTATGGCAAGTTTTTGACACTCTGACACCTCAAATTTAAACATTTTGAAGACACTAACTCATGTTGAGAAAATGATTAGCTTAAAACTGCAAGTTTGCCAATCTTATTTTTAATTTTCCTTTATTGCAACAACTTGAAGTTAAAATTTGACCTTCAATCAGTGAAGAATTTTGTCTAGTATAAAGTAAACATAAAATAACCCACCCCACATTTGGGAAGATTCTTGTGAGTGATTTTCAAGTTTTTTTTTTTTTTATTTTCTTGGTTATTACTATTTGATTTAAAAGTCTATAACTTTACCATATTGTGTCTAAAAGTCTGACTTCCGTGGCTCAAGAGATGATAAGTGCATTTTAGAATTTATAAACAAACATTTATATGTCCATTAAATAGCTTCAGAATTCTTTTTATACCTTCTCTTTAGTTTCTACATATTAAGAAAATGCTTTAGTATTGACATGTTGAGTGCGGAGTATTATTTATGATTCCTTTTTTTCTGTTTCATTTCATTTTGCATTGTTTGTAGTTGTATTACGGTTTAGATTATTTTTGGACTGTATAAACCAGTTCAGACAATCATTGTCCAATTGTTTCTGAACAGCTTTCTCTATTTATAGAGAAAGTAGTTACTTCATTCCCAAGCAATATTAACTCTGAGTAATACCGGCCTTCAACGGTAGCAGATAGTAGGCTGCCTTTTTAACAATACAAAGTTTTGGTACATTTTGAGTAAGACTGTGATTTGAAAAAACATTTGGGTAGCTGTTATCTTTATATGCATGTGTAGAGCGTTGTCTCTGTTGGTTTGTTGTGTGTAAGTTTTGAAGAGAGGGTTGTGGTTTTCTGCTTGAAAGTACTAATGTGGAATGGTGTGAGTTTTCTTTGAAGAACTTGTAATATGTTTGATACATTGTGTCATGTACAATCTTTCATCTTGAAAAGAAAAAAAAGGACCTTCTTGGACTAATGGCTTTAATGAACTTTTTGGAGAAAGTTGATTGTTTTTCACTCTTGTAGTGAGTATTTTTCTGTGATAAACGTCTAGACTTAATGTCACTTTACCATCTGTAGCTAGAATTTTAATCAAAAGCCTTAGACAGGATTTGAAAGAAAAAATGGTGTAACGCACCTCATGCAACTTCAACATTTCAAACCATGTGTTTGCATGTCTCCCAGTTGCATTTCAATGATTCTAGAAAGTGTGGGTGTAAATATACTCACGAAAAAGTGTATCAGTGTACAAATTCAATTTATTTCTGGTACTTAAAATTTACATGTTGAATGCCAGTCGTATTGGGCACAGGTCAGATGCATTCCTGTCCATGCTCCCTATTCAACTCTTTAAAAAGCTTTTTCATAATGAAAGGGAACAAAATGTAGAACTCTCTAAGATTGGTATGTACCAAATTTTTGATCAGTATTTGTGAGAAAGAAGGATGTTGGAGGAGGGGTGAATGACTTTTAGTTATTTGCATGTTCGGCCTCCCTATGCCTTGTTTCATTGCATGAGTCCATGTGTTGGAAATGTACTGCTGAGTTAGTGCATTATACCATTGTGGCTCCCATTACTGGTATTTGTGTGTTTTACGGGAGACTATCGTGGTCGGTGCTTGATTATACAAACTGTCAAACAACGGCATGTTTTTTTTTGTTTTTGTTTATGTAACGGCATAAAAGACAGACTTCATTATGAATAATAATGTACCTTTAATAACTCACAATGTCACAAAGCTGTCACAAATATGATTTGGTAATAATTTTGCTATGCCAAAGTTGGTCCATTCATGTATTGATTATCTATGTAGTTCTTTTTTTCTTTTAAGTTTAAGAATTTCATGCCTGGTAGATTCTTGCAACTGCTCTTCATAGCCTTAATGGAGTCCTTGTGCATGCTATGTGTTTCAGTCTTTTTATATAGAAATGCCCTTCCTTTAGTAATAAAGCTCAAAGCACAGTCTTAACCTTTAATTTACTTTAATCCTTTACCCTCTCCCTAAAATAAAGAGAGAAGAGCTCTTTACAAAGCTTTCGTAATTGTTTTGGGTTGTAGAGTAAATTAGCTATAGAGTTGTAATTAACATTGTTAATACACTTTTTAAAATTTTCTTTGCAAGTTACTGATTTTTATTTTGAACTTTGTTGCTATACATTAATTAGTGTTGAGTTGTTTAAATCTCCCTGTTTCTACATACACTATACACTTTATCAAAGTAAAACCTGAATAGGCATCAATAGACATTCTATATAGAATATGAATAAAAGCAATTCATCCAAACCAATGCTTTCATTTTGACTTGTTGGTTTAAGCAGTATCTATTTAGATTAGTTTTATTTAACTGGGCAAATGGTTCAGAAGTTTATTTTGCACTATAAAATAGTCTCACCAACCTCAGGTGAGTGGTTAAATTTGCATGTTTTGTTTTAAGAGTTTGGCTTGAACTAGGGCTCTTGATTTATCGTATTTTAACTTGTGCATGCCTTTTTCCCCTGTGGGTTTTGTGTTTAGCTTGAAGCAGAGATTTGCAGGACAACTATTGTACCTTCGTCCACCAAAACTTATATGAACAATAATAATAGTGATATTAAGAAGCTATGTTCTGTATTAATGCTCTTGCAATGTATTCTCAGGTACTCAGGGGCAGCTCCTCTATCTACATCAGTGAGATGCAATCCACCAACCCATTATCCTCAGCATGTTCGATCTGTATCTGAAACAGGTCGAATGTTTTATCCTGTTGCTTCTCAATATCAAGTTACTGCATCTCAGGCTGGCTTTCAGTCTCACAACCACTCAAATGGAGAGTCTATCCCTTCTTCAAATAGTGTGAGGTAAGTGTAGTCTATGGTGTGGTGAGTATGTATTGAAGATCACTGCATCCATAGTTAAATTTTATCCATATTTTCCTTAGGCGTCCCGTAGGTTCCTCTGATTCTACATTTGGAGGACGATTTTCTCCGTTCCACTCAACTCGTATGGCTAATTCTGCAGAACCTGTTGCCATAGAAGCAAGTGGTTTACGTTCAACTCCACCGCCAATGTCTCCAGCTCATGCATTTTGGCAGGCGCAGGAAGCAAGAGCTGCAGAATGGGACACTCACCGCTCCAGTGTGGGGTATGCAATGCATGGTCTTCTTTATTCCAATACCTTGTTTAATGATAAGAACATTTTGATAATTATTTGTCTTAATGATATCCCTAAATATTATTGTCATTATTATTGCAGTTCTGGGTTCATAAATTCACCAGTGCCGGGAAGGAAGCGCTTTCCATCAGAACCTCCGCAACCAAATTATAGAGAGCCGACTGTGTTTGGAAATAGCAGCCCATTAGTTTTGCAGAGACTATACCATCAGCAGCAGCAGCAACAACAATTACACCAACACCAACACCAGCAAAACCTTAATCATGTTCTGCATCATTACCATCATCATAATCCAGCTGGCAGCTATTCTGCTGCACAGTCAATCAACCTGCATATTGCTAATGATGAACCAGATAATGCAAAGGTAGAGGAGTCATCCAATTTAGGAAAGAAGAGGTTCACTTCATATTTGAAATTTAGCATTGGCGGAAGTAATAATTCCGTAAGCAACTCACCAAGTAGTCCAAGTCGGATTCCTCCCCCACGACCTACAAGGCATGCCTCACCTGGCCCCCCTCCACCTAGTCCAGACCCTCCACCAAGACTCAGTCGCTTGGGTCTGAGTGATGGAACCCAGTCATATTCCCCACTTGTTGGGAGACGGAGTTTCTTAGATGTTTCTCCTGTCAGAAGGGGAGTCTTGGATGTGTCACCATCGCTTCCTCGCAGGTAAGCATTTACGTTTTCTATACATATGCGACCGACATTTCTTTATCCATTGCACTGCACTAAGTTTCATTTAATTCCTTAGGTATGTTTCACCTTCACCACCTCAACCCCCTCCTCGAAGACTTTCTACAGAAGGGGGTCCTAGCAGTTTTAATGGCACAAGTGGATTTATGACTGGTACTAGCAACACAAGTGGTACGAGTTCAACTCCTGGATCTCCCCAAGTCCGCCGTTTTGACAGCATTCGTGCTCGATTCCATTACACTCCTCAACCTCAGCGTCGTATGTTCGGTGCCACATCCGATTTCAATGATCTCTGACGAAAACTAAGCCGTCTGTGGTCCCCAAACCGGTAGTGAAATATTCTTGTGAAGTGGCAGTTGAATTTATCTTGACATCCCAAGCTTTGTTCTCATTTATCTTGTACCTTGTATGTATGTTGTGAAAAGCTGTCACTTTGTTGCATGAATGTCATTCATCTACTGAAAAGTGTTGGAGCCAAGACGGAGCTAAAACTCAGTGCCATCATGCTATTCAGTTAATGTATACTGTATACCTCACCTTTAATAACTCAGTCACAAAGTAAATGTTAGTAGAGGGACATGAAGTTTGTAACTTCATTGCTACTCCAGTTAAATTTAAATATGTGATATTTATTTATGTATGTCAAATCAGGTAATTTTTATCCAGCAATAAGCTTATAAAAGCGTAAATTTGCATAAAAATCTTGAGGGTTTAGGTGACAATTGTTAATGAAGTGCTTGCTTTTCTTTTCTTTTGGACACAATTTTTTATTATTATTATTAGGTGAGATTGCACGAGCAGGTGAGACAAAAGTGTTACCCACCATGAACTATGAGCAATATGGTTGGCCGTATCTCTTTTTATTAGGATCCCTCTAAATTTCTATTTGGGAAAACCATTGCTTAAGAGTTTCAGAACTGCATTGGTTCATCAAATTTAATGATTAAACCTCATGCAGACAGACAAAATCTTTGCCTTTGTAGAGATTTCAAGTAAATGCTCAATATAGATGTAAGAACTGTTTGATGCTGTGGTTATTTTGGGGATCATTTATCTTGCTTTTGATCACCAATCCCACCATTCTCTTTGGTGGCTTACATCATGACCCTGAGCACACCATTTATAATTCCTTGGCTAGCTAAGAGCTTATTTGTGAGGCATGCCGTAATGCTTCTGCTAAGAAAAAGCTAAATTATGCATTTTTGTGCAGACGACAAATTCTTGCCCATTAGTATAATGTCTTTACAAAGTTACTTCTAGTAGTTTGTTGGGCATGATACAGTAGTTGTAAGTTCTTTGCTTTGTTTATTGATTGTTTTGCATGGTGACCTGAAGTTTTAGCATAGATTAATTTATTTATTTCAATTGCAAAGCAGCTGAAAACTATTGTAATGTGGGAAGTTAAGTCTGCAAGGAAGTGGAGTGTATCTGGGGTTTATCTGTGAAACATTTTCCCAGTCATTCAAAAGTCTTTAATTGCTTGCTCCTGTTATTATTAGATTAAATGCCCAATAACCAAGTGTGGACATTATTGTTAGGTCTATCTGCTATTGTGATATTGATTTGTGCTTGTAACCATGAGTGTTAACTTTTATACATGTGAAGAAAAGCTTGAATAGTCTTTACTTTAACTTATTGAACATTTGTGTACCATTTTAGCTTGTTTTGATTTTTGATCAGTCTTATATATTTTCTGTACTTGTATCAAAACAATGTTTGATTAGTATCACATATTTTTGTACACCTAACTTGACAGAAACTGAAAATGTTGTTGTAAATCCTCTTATGAAATTTAGGAATTGATTTTGACGTGTACCCAATGTACCCTTTTTACCCTATTATATAAGTAAAATTATTTGTTTGGTTTTTTTTTTCATAGTATTGTTATGTGCCAAACAGGAATTTGTAACTTGCTTTGTGCATTTGTGCAGAAGACTGGGCCAATGTAGCTTAAATTTTAATTGCGAGTTCTTGAAGTCTGTCATATGTCAATGGTTTGATGAACTATTGCAACACCAGGAACTTACGTGTATCAGTCATTCCTCACGGAACTATGGTACTGGATTGAAGTCTTTATGGATGATAAAAATCTCTATTGTACCTACCAGTTTTGTTCCCTTTGACATGACCATTTTCTAAAAGCCTGAGAACTCCTTATTTACAATGATTAACATCGTTTTTTTTTCTTTGAATTTTATTATTTGTTGCTTGTTTTTTACTGTTGATGATTTGTATAATTGTTGAGAATTGTCAGAGTTCATAATTTATGAGAAAGTTGCATTGGCTGAATCTATGTACGTTCTTTACACTTCTTAGTACACTCATATCTAGCACCAGTGTCAAATCAGGTCTGTGTGATATATGTCCTGAATGTCAGCCCTGTTCTCTTCATTTTACTGAATTCGTTTGCAACATACACACTTGTATGTTGCAAAATAATTCGTTCAAGTCAGTGGATTAGACACCATTTTCTAAGTAAATGTGTACTTTGTGATACACATAACTTTTCAGAGGTGTAGACAAACAGAATAAACTACAGTATCTTTTAGAATTTTAACACTGATATTGGTCCCGTCAAACTTGCTTTTATTTTCCTTGCCACAATTGTGTGTTTAATTAATTGTTCTCTGGGGCTGCTCCTCAAGTTTGTTTGTCATATTTTCTGCTTGATATAGAAGTTTTAGTGTCAACTTGTCACTCTTGCTTGTATGGTTAGACCATTAGAATTTTACAAATTGAAAACTGTGTGTGTTGCGTTTCTGTGTGAAATATTTTCAGCCAAAATCCTGGCAAAGCTACATTGCTTGTAGCCCTATCATCTCACTATTGAGTGGTGAGTGGTAGCAGCATGCATGATTTTGAAGTCCTGAATGGTTCTAATCTTAGCTCACAGGGTCACACAACTGCAATTTACCTGCATGTGATACCAGCGCCTCCCAGTAAATCCTTTCATGGTTTTATATGAAATGAAAATGCTTTGATAGGCATTCATAGACAGTTAATTTCCGTTTGTCTTGGTCCAATCACACAGTGTACTGTGTCCTGACACTCCTAAAAATGTTGTTTTGTTTTCTTCATGTGGTTAGCCCATAGTTAGCCACGTTGGAGATTTTATTTTTACGAATCATGTTCAGTTTCACATTCCTTGAAAGTGTTAATTTGAAGTGAACTGCCTTTTGTTAGTGACATTTTTTATGAAGACTGCCTGTGAAGTTAGGTGCATGCAATAAAATCATAATTATTTCAATTCTACCTATATCCCTTTTGTTGTCATCTTTTAACAGTTTAGGAAGAGTACTGACTGTGAGATTGTCTCGTCAATTTTGAAATGTAGAATCATAACTACATTTGAGCATTAGTTTCTTCGCAGCTCCTGTTACTTTGTTTTCCTTTCCCTCTAGTTAGATTATTGCATACTTGACTGTAAATGTAGTTTAAAACACCTATTTATCGTGTATAGTATAATACTGGAAAAAAGTTTGAATAGCATGTACATAATTATTAAATAAAATGTAAAGAATGTACCTGCCCGATCAATTTTTGAGCCCAACTTCACTACAGTAGCGTCCTCTAATTTGGTGGGAAAGTATAGAATTCTAGATGAGGGCACGTAGAAATTAGGTTCAGTAAGATTGTGATTGAAATATAGTCGAATGATGGTTAAAATATTTATTTTGTCTTATGTTAACATATACTTCATAAGAATCACTCCGAGTCCTAAAGATCATACACTCACAGGTACTTAGTGAGGTGAAGCTAGGGCTTTGCTAAGATAACTTCTTATTGCACTAGTTAAATCTTGTGATATGAAATATGAACCATGATATTTCTGAAAATGGTAACATACTACTTTTTTCTACAACTTAACAGCCAAAGCATTTTCTCCACACGCACACAATATTAGGTCCACCATAGATTAGGGGAGCCTGCATAAAATTCAGAATAATGATAGGCAATATACAAGAGATAAATTAAAATCACAGTAAAATAAGGGACAATATGTATCATTGAGAGCATATTTTAATGCTTGAACATTTACAATAGTTCCCAGATTATCCATAGAGATGGATGCATTGTTGGCAGGTTAAAAATAACAAGACAATATGAAAATATGTTGCCATATAACTAGGACAGACTTAAGAATAAACAAGTCAAGACTTTATCAACATGTAATAAATTCACTCTTATAAATGTATGCACAATTAGAAAATTTGTACAAGTAGAAATTTAAAAACAACAGAGGGATTATCTCATTAATTTTCATACACTGTCTCATTTACCTTTTTCTACCCAGAAATGGAAGATGCTTCTCATTTTCAATTATAAGCCTCTGCATTGCCCGTATGACCACAGCATAACGATTATCTTCAGTTTCTTGCACTAGCCCAACTGATGCTGCAAGGTTGGCAAATTGAGAAAGGATAACTCTTTCGGGGCCTGCTCTCTCAAGGTAGTGTAGTTGAAGCAATTCATCTACTGAAGCTCTCTCCTTTGGATTCCTTGTGAGGCATGATTTCATGGCCTGGATTATAGCTGAAGGACAGCCTTCAACTGGTGGCTCAGGGAATTGAATTTTGTAGTTTGTACTAACAATTGCATTTAATTTTTGAAATTGACCTGTAATGTGATGGAAAGGAGTTTGTCCATAGACTAAACTGTATAATATACACCCTAGTGACCAAACATCAGATTTATAACTTATTTTATATCCTTGACCATCAGTGTTGCTTGCAGACAATGCTTCAGGACTAATGTAGTTATAAGTTCCTGTTAAGCTTTCTTTCATAACACTAGTCATGTCTTCCTGAACTGAAGATGCAATGCCAAAATCAATAAGCTTCAAGCGTCCTGAAACTAACAGGAAATTTGCGGGCTTCAGGTCTGAGTGGATAGTACCACGCTTGTGAATGAAGCTGACTGCATTTAGCATCTCGGTCCAATAGTAAACAATCATGGCAGCTGAGATTTCTTGGACTTGCTAACTTCCTTTATGAGTTTTGATAAGTCTGTGTCACCTTTCTCCATTACAACCAAAAGCAAATTCTGGTCCTTCTTATGCTCATGATCAAACATGCGAATTACACTCTCACCATCCTGAAGTTCAGCCAGTAATTTGATTTCATTGAGATACCCTTCACAAATAGACACGTCAGTATCAGCTAGGTTCACACATTTAACAGCTTTCAGTTGTGAGTTCGCTGGATCCAAAACTTGATAAACCTTGCTTGAGCCACCTCTGCCCAGAAGACTGAGGATGGAGTATGAACGCCCATTAACAACAATCTCACCACAGCCAGATGAGGTCTTTTTAACTGAATCAACTGTCTTCATACTTTCCATAGGCATGGCAACTTTTGCTACAGGAGGCTCCATACTTTTGGTGGCAGCTGGTGGTTGAGGTGGACATTCGGACTCTCTGACCGGTCCCTGTACCTTTTTAACTGAATCCATTGTCTTCACACTTTCCATTGGCATGGTAACTTTTCCTACAAAGGGCTCCATGTTTTTGGTGGCAGCTGGTGGTTGAGGTGGACATTCAGCCTCTCTGACTGGTCCTTGCACAACTTGTTGTAAGGTATCTGTTTTCTTAGCCAACACCTGTGCAGAATGGGTGGATGGTTGTGGAGGGCTTCTGGCATCGGCACCTGGTGGGTTGATGACAATTCTTGGAACACCAGAGTCCACTGTGGCTGTTTCAAGTAATTTGGGTGCACATTGAAGTGGTTTCATTTCTCCAACTTGTGCTGGTGACAACTGTTGCTGTTTATCCTTTTTTGGTTCAATAACAGCTTCAACTGTATCTTGAGCCTCTAGTTTTATTTTGGATAATGGTGGCTCACTTATATGAGATTTGGTTTCTGGACCTGGTCTCCGGCTGGCACCATCCATATTCTGTACATGTGGCGCTCTACTGTAAGTTGCACAACTGGGTATGTTATGAGGAACCCAAGTGCTTGACACGCTGTCTTCAGCAGCCATTGAGGATGTTGAAGGTTGCTTTTCACACAGTCGGGCAGCTGAAGCGGCATCAACTTGCTTCAATGGGGCACTCATGAGATTTGGTAATGATTTGAAGGGAGTTACTTCCACAGGTCTGGAATGACGTATCCAAGAATTTGAAGACTGAGACACTCCATCCAGATGTGACGGCTGATTCTCAGTGGTAGCTAGAACTGTGGCTACTTGACTTTGTTTCATAACAGGAGCTGCAGGAGTTATTGAAGGAGTCGGATCTATAAGCTTCCTTGAAATCCTTGACTCTTGAGAAAACTGCTTTTCAGCCACCTGCTGATGCTGAAGGTGTTTGGCATGCTGTTGGCCTGCAGCAACTGCAGGATGAAGTGGAATGTTTGTAAACACTTTTGATGAAGACAAACCATACAACCTTGGCCTTGTATGCCCACTTGCATGGATTGAATTCTGATGGTTTGGAGCTATTTTGCATTGGGGTGTTCGAAAGATATCAGCATCCGAAGAAATTTTCTTTGTGCTTCCAAAGAAGCCAGTCCCACCACTGCTGGTCTGCAAGTCTGATGACTTGTGACTTAACACACCATCAATGGTATCTTTTGCTGCAGCACTGTCCATCGGCAAGGCTGACAAGGGACATCGAGCAGAAGGAGTGCTTGCTGCAAATGCCTCGGATGTCTTGCGAGGAGTGTAGAAGTTCTCTTTATCCACAGTAGCAGATGCTCTATCATGATGGTCCTGTTGAGCACACTTTAAAGGAGTCGACTCAGAAATAGCTCTCAGATCATTTTGAGAGGAAGAAAAGTTAGTTCTATGTGGAAAATTCCACTCTCTACTGGAATTTAAAGTCTCAGGTATAGTGTTATTGGTATGATAAGCCCACTCATGGCTCTCATTTTGATTGAAAAAATTTCCATGCGAACGCCTGTTACTCTTGGCGAGATCACTATACACCTCACTATAAACTTGGGACAGTTCTGGGACAGCATCAGCCCGCAGAGGCATAACCTTGCCATTGGATCTTCCAAAGCCACTGTAAAGATAACAAGGGTGTGAGATATTTGCCACACATGCTAGCTTTGAGAACATGTTAAAGTTTACTTACGGCCCCTTCTTTTTGGCAGTGGGTGGAGCAGTCACTACTGGTTCCGGGTCTAAAGGAGGCTTGGAGATTTCCGGCTCCTGAGTTTTAAGAAAGCCCCCATACATAATGATAATGTTTCCTGTAACAAACAACAACACAGAAGTGTCACTTCCACCTTGCTCACAAATGAAAAGTGGAAACACAGGAGGTTTTCCAGGAAAACTTAAGATTCTTTGATGACTGACAGCTGTGACAGCTGATTTATGTGACACAAAGGTATTTCAAGTAAATGGATCTTAAGAATACTCATCAAAAGTAAATGCATCATGTAAAATAGAACAAAACAAAACATACTTCATTAGTAACTGAAGAAACCAATGAAAGTTTACTCTGAATAATCAAGCAGAGCGTAAGTGAACGAGTCGAACGAGCTGTGTTTTGATTTGGACTTGTCTAGGCATCCTTGCAAGCAGGCATTCATAACCGTTACACCACAAAGCTTGCACTTTGTATTTAGTCCGTCACGTACAAACAAGTTCGTCCGGGCCGACACTCACCAAGCGAACACTTCTTGATCCACTTTGGGTCCTTTCGTTGTCTGAACAAGGTAAACACACCTCAGAAGACATAAAACACGTAAAATCCTTCAAGCAAACCCAAGAAAACACCACACGTTTCAAACACAACCATCAACTTTGAAACTGGACAAAAGACATGCGTTGTTGATGCCAGTGCCAATAGAAGTGTGCAAACCTTCAGTACTGGATCTTTCAGTATCACACGCTGAAAGAGTCAATCCATCAATTTTATTCCAGATCCAAATAAGAATACTATTTTTTTCAGTTGAATTTGGTAATTAAGAGATTTGAAAAAATAAAAACATGAACTTTTCATCTGTTGTGTTGGTGGTTTTGGAAACCTAAAAGCATGGCTGCCGCATGTAAACAAGTAACTTTACGCGCGAAACTTCGACTGCTTCTCCGTTTTGGCATTCTACACTGGTGGATCATGAATTATTATTCTTATCGAGTTGCGGGTTACTGTTCTTAGGACTCAGTACTTTCTCAAGTCTCCAACTTTGACCATACTAACTTGCAAGCTTGAAAGTGTGCTGCACAATAAAATAAGGCAAGTCAAATAGATTTTTATATTTTCCATTGTAATCAACCAAATAAGGAAGGAAAAATACAAGATCTCATTATTTCAAAAGTGCTTTAAAATAACAGGAACATTAAAACAAGAGAACTACACTGACACAATAAATGAGAATGCACATGATGCAGGATTTTGCAAAATATACAAGATTTCCCTTGCTTTTCATCATTTTCCATCAAAGTGTGATGATGCAATCAGCACTTTTCCTTGTTCATTTAAAATTGAACTAGCTACTTAAGACATTACTGGTGTGAGTAACTTGATGGTTTCAACCAGCAGGGAGGGGAGGCAAGGGGGAGTAGGGTCCCCTCTCCAGAGCCCTCTCAAAGGAGAATCACACATCATTATAATGGGTCAAAATCAGATCAGATAATGCTGTAAACATTGATATGATCCCCACATGACAATAATTGCTAAATGGGACCATATCAAAATGCAACACTATGTGGTTCACTTTGACATGTGAATTTTGATTTTCCTTGGGCCCTGGTCTACCCTGATGCTGTACATATCTATGTCAGACCAGTTTTAAGTCTTCCAATAATAATAAACTCTTCAGTGTGGCATGATAAAAATTCATTTTTCTACATATTTACAATTATTTTACATTAAAACAGAAAAAAATACAAATATTACAAATATCACAACTTCTGTTGCCACCACATGTTGTTCAATACTGAGCTTCTTCAAAAATATCCACATGAGCAACTGGTCTTAACGTTGTGTTACCTTCCAATTAACAGATCCAGAAACATAGAACAACAGTCAACAGTTCTTTCAAACCGATTAAGGTATGCAAAACTTCCTGCTCTATGCTTGAAAGGGGGAAAACTAAAGGGAATGGTATTAAATGGCACCTACAAGCAAAATACAAATAGCCTCTAGAGCTTTGCCATACAATTAAGAGCTATGTCTACAAGTATCAAGCTTCAGGGACACATTGTCCAAAATCATTATCATCGAGAATCTGAGTCTCAGTCCAGAATAATATTTGATCACAATCAGGCTAAGAGACAATGCAAGTAAAATGCTGCAAAGTAGAAAACAATAATTTCTACAAATGAAACTGAATCTAGAAAAACAGTGCATATCATTGGTTTAAAATTTAAAACTACAAAATATTGGGTGAAGCTTAGATTTCTGGAGTTGCTACACATTCCATAGAAGTTCTCACTACAGTCTTTTAGCTGTTGGAAAGGGATATCATATTCAAAAGTAAGGGAACAGCTTAGTGAGAACAAAAAGTCAAAATAACATTACTATGGCGTCAAGATGACAACATTTTGACTTCCCATCCTCATCTTGGCAGATTCTAATGAAATAACAGGGAGCCTCTGGGGAATTTGTTAACTCAATGCCACATTTAGTAGAATTCACATTATGGCTACCTTAACACACAAACTGAAAACCGGATAATGAAAATGCTTTTTAACCATTGTGGCTCATCCATGAGATCAATTTGTAAAGAAGATATGCAGCAACTGAAGCATATAACATTTTCTCTCGCTGTTGCATCTGTACATTATCCAGTTCCACAGCCATAACTCGCCGATTCAGCTTGGCTAATTGTCGCCTGAGGTGTAGTATTTCTTCACTGGTGGTAATTCCCTCTCCACCAGCAGATGGCATGGGAGTCCAGTCTCTGGACAATGTTAATCGAGATTTAATTATTTGAAAGGAACGAGGCTTATATATTTACAATTTAGAAAATGGAACAGGAAATTGACTTACCTTTGAATAAGGCTGTGGTCATGTTCATTGTGTCTGCTCTTGAAAGGGGTGATTTGGTGGATTTCTGAGCTGGATGCCGAGTCAAACTTGCCACTGAGCATCTCCCGCTCAGGGGGACTGTTTCTTGGATAATCATCAGCAGAAGGAAAATAATGCTCATCCAAAGTGATCACACGAGGTGGTGTCTGCAACACACCAAATAATTAAGTGCGCTTGTCAAATTTCATTCTATAAATTTTTATTTCAGAAAAAGCTTAAGTACAACCATACCTGCACACGGACGAAATCTGGCTCAGGGGGCATAACAGCATTTTCCAGCATGATTTCTCGTGGTGGTGCTCTAGTGCCAATGTGCTGTTCTTCACCTGTTCCCATAGAAAAGTACATGAGAGCAGTTATAATCATAAATAAACTTTTAACAAGTAGGATGATGCAAGGGATACATACCAACAACAAGAATCCTATCTGGAACATGCATATCAAACTTTTCATTCAGCCAGTTATGCCGTTGGTTGTCATCTAGATCACCATCTCCACCAACACGAATATTTTTGGGAACTTGCATCTTTTGACTAATGTCAGCAGTGAATGTAGGATCATAAAAATGGTCAAGTTCACCCTTAAAGTGGGTAGGGCTGGCAATTTTAGACATGTTGAGGCCTTTTAATGCAGAACTGGAACAAAGCAATAGTTGCACAAATGAGGATCAAACAAAATCTTGTAAAGGGTGTAACGATAAACAAACAACCATGACAACTGCATGAAGTGAAAAGTAGTCTAGTGGACAGGCAGTCTGTGGAGTAAAGTTAACACTACCGAAAAGGCAAACCAGTATTTTACAAAACATGAATATGCAGAAAATGACTGACTTCATTACAAGCAAACCGCTGATAAGAATAACGGACGAGAAAAGCGAGCCCAGAGGTTGCACAATCAACCTTCCTGACCCATGAATTAAGTTCGCATGACAAATCATAAGAGTCTTCGGATCGTTTTTAAAAGTTTTACGAATCACGAAACTGTAGTAGCCTAAGGATGCAGGTTAGGTGGGAAGGAAGAATCGCTCGATTGTGTTCTTGAACAAGCAAAATCTTCGAGATTTTCGGGAGGGATATAATAAAATTAGGTCCATCAATGGTTCAACTAGGAAAGTAAATTATTCAACTAGAGTTCATAATGGACAAGATCGGACAAAGGTGAGGACTACCGTTTGTTGATAAGAAAGCAAGCCCCAACTCAGTAGCTGCTCGACACTGACTTACTGAAACACAAAATAGTTGAAGTTCTGCTGATAAGCAATTGAGAAACGCCGAATTAATTCTGTTCTCTCCAATGATGAAAAGACAGCGGTCGAGCCAGTCGAAAACCGAGAAAGAAATCTCAGCTGTCCGTTGCCGTTACAGAAAGTGAACAGAACGTTACCCTCCCAAAAAACAATTTCAAAAAAAAGTTGGACGTAGAGAAATGTAAAAATTTGTTTTCCTTAAATTTTTGGTTTTCTCTCATAGTTTTTTAACAACGAAATAAACAAAAAGAGATAAATGGACTGACCAGAACCTCCCTTTTCCATCTTTCGATCAATTCTGTATCCCACAGTTGGTAGTACGGTTGTGGCCGCCAACCGCGAAAGTTCAAACTCTTTTGGACAAGTAGGCACTTGAAATGGGAGTGCTCTCGAAATACGGGAAAGAAACATGATACAGAAACGTACAAAATCAAAATTATTTATTTGATACACAAGCAAAATAACACTGGTAATTTTGATGTTTTAAAAAAAGCAAACAAAGTTTTCTAGATTTTTTAAAAATGGACTTAACAAAGAGAAAATACTTGTTCCTTGCTGGTCCCCAAACATTTTTTTCTATGCGTGGGCAAATTGCTTTAAAAAGATAATATAAAACAACAAATAGAAGATTTAGAACAATTTAAAAATAAAGCACAGTATCTGAGAAAAACCATTAAGTAACTAATTAACTCTTCAAGGATGCAGGAATCTTGGGCAAGCCAAACTCATCAACCAGCACGCCATCCTAAAAAGTAAAATAAATGTTTGTTAAGATGAATAGCTACCTCTTAATTTTTGTATGTTAAGTAAGATAAGAAAGAGAAGGAACAATGTACCTTGTTGCGCAAGTCAATACTGTCAGCACCAGGCTCTCGGTCGGGAGCAGCGGGCGCTTTTACTGCGTCATCCAAATACGATGTGTCATCATCGAGAGCAATTTCATCACCAAGAGCATCCAATTCAGCTTCTAACTCCGATTCATCAATATCTGGTGTGCCATATGAACGACCTAATGCTTCTTGCACCTCCTCAGACATTTCCAACATATCTGCCATATCATCTTGAATATCCTGCAGAAGAAACAAGACATAGAAATGGTTATTACAGAACAAAGGCAGAAACATTCCAGCTACTAGGTGAGGATGACAAACCTCAATCTCATCTATATTAATCTTTTTGAATTCTTTTTGCATTGATTTGACCCCAGCTTTCATTGCAACAACTGTTGAGTGAGTGTCCTTGAGAGTTTGATGTGCATAGTTGGCTTGTTCCATGTTAAAAGCTTGTGTTCTTAAATTGTCTGCTTGCGATTCATACCTGCAATGAAAAAAGAACAACATAAACATGAAGTTAAAAGATATTCAATTCAGGCATACATCAAGAGCTTACATCTTCTTCTGTTTCAAGACACGAAGTGCTTTCTGCTTTACAGCGTTCTTAGCTGGGCCGTCACGCATCTTTTTCATTTGATCCTTGTACTTGACAAGTTCCTGCTCCAGTCGTTGAACCTTCTTATCAACTGATTCTGCTCGACTATCAACCTGTTCTCGACAAGAAGTAAAGCCACACATTTGTTAAGACATAAAATATTATTGAAACAAAGACACGTTATGTCTGATACAGAGAGCAAAGTAAAGCAATTGTCCAAGCCGAAGCGCTCTAGCAGTTACATGAACGGATGTTAGAAAAATGTCAACTGCTGAGAAGGGTAAATGTAAAAGTTTCCAAAGTGACATAATTTGCCCTCGACATTTCCAACAACGTACCCCCGCAATGCAGTCCGCAATGTTTGGGGGCGGCTCGGCTGGCTTCCCTCTTCCGAACAGGCGATTCATTTTGATGCGGAGATGCTCGTCGCGGAGTGACAGCGACAGCCAAAGGGACCAAACAACCTTGCGCCTCAGACACAAATTTGTTATTGTGCTGTAAGAGCTGGGTGGGTTGGGTTTGGGTTCGAGTGACTCACAAACACAATACACTGCTGTAAGGCAGGGATAAAGACCCTTCCCTCTTGTCGCCCGAGATTGAACCGGAAACGTCTTGCTCTTGTATGAGAAACTTTTCGGAACCTGCATGGGACTCTCTGATCGCCTGAAGATAGGCATCCCAACCGGCAGCGCAGCTGTTTGTTTTGCCTTACAGTCCGCAGCGGCCGCGGCCAGGGCCACGTGACGGACATTCAAAGCAGAGTTCTGAGGAAGCACTTCAGGGAGGGAGCGCCAAGCTGCGCCAAGCCGAAAGCAGCCTGTTGGCTTAATCAATTGATGGACTGTGCGCTACCCGCCCACGAAGACACTGCGACTGTCCGGCCGGGAAACGACGGACACGAACGACGCTGATGGTGTTTTAATTCGATTCCCATCAAGCATTCTTGCGTCACTGCAAATTGGGCTGGTTTCGTTGGAGTAATAAATCGCTGTGGTTTTTTTTCCCCTTACCTTCTTTTTTACCTCCTCTGGATCGCTCGCTGGTCACCTTACTTTACCCACGTTTACTCTCGGTACCTCGTTTCACCTTGTTTCGCGAAACGACCCAGCCGGCGACGACGTCACTCAACGATTCCGCGGAAGCGGCCACTTGTCGACTAGGACTTCCCTCCGGAGAATTTCCAGTCGAATTCCATCATGGAGTGACGGATGTCGTGTCGTGCGTCAATAACGCACCGCCATGGGGGGATATCCTACGATGGTACAAAGTTTCTGCCGATTCGCACCCAGCATGGCTTTCTTTTCCGATTCCTCTCGGCCTAAGTTACGAAGGCAGCAGAGCCCCCAGTGGCCGCCAGCCGCCCCAAATCTTCTTCCTCTCGCTCTCCGTCTCGCTCGCTCCCATGCTCGCCCGAGCCACGGCGAGCCACGGCGAGAGAGACGACATGAGGAACGTGGCCGCGGCGGCCGCGCTGTCCGGTCGTAAGGTTCTGCTCTAGTTGTCCAGCACGCATCTCATCTCCCCTCCACCGCCTTCCTGCTCGGCCCCGGGCCGCCGTGGGCCGCCGGGGATCCCAAACGCCTTCCCTTCCGTTAACGAGGCAGGCATGGCTGGCCTGGCTTGCCGCGCCTCCTCCAGCGAGGAGGAAGACGGCGAGGAGAGCCTCTTTGCAGCAGGCCTTCCGGTTCCCACGCGGGGCCTAGTGCAACTAGTGCAACTGGAGCACCCGCGTGACCCGGGAGGACCCGCCGGGACGGCCCGCCGCCGGCCCAACACGAACAGCCGTGCCTGTGCATTTTCGTAAGCAGTTGCTGCACTCGAGGGACTGCCGCGTTGCCGCGCTGCCGCATGGTACGGGGATGCACGGGTGCACGACTGTTCGTGTTCAGGGATTCTAGGTGGATCTAACCTGAACTGATCTAACTAGTGGAGCCGCACCCCCGAAGCCAACGCAGACAAGCAAAGCACACCGTCAGTCAGGACGAGGGTCTCACCGAGGGTGCCGAGAGGGCGGGGCGCCGAGGCACCACTCCTCGAGACTCCGTGTGCGGCGCGTGTCTGCAAATAGCCCCCCGGACGTGGCGCGCGTGCGTGTGTGCTGGCGGTGCTGGCCGTCGAATCGGATGTCGCCAAGGACACGCCGCGGACACGCCGCGGACACGCCAGCCGGCCGGAGACGCGCACGGCACGGCACGTCACGTCACGCACGCGTCACGCCGGGCGCTCTGCAAATTGGCCGTCGAGTTCCCTCCACCTCCCCATACAGAGCAGTCCCACCCGTCTTGCCGCATAGTGCAGCGACGGAGAGCGCGGGCGGTGCGGTCGGTCACCCGCCTTGCCTTCAAGCGATACCGAATCGGTAACGCGGACACGTCGATTACGGTCTCAACGGAACAGCTAGCTGTCATATCAAGTGCAGCCATAAGTTTCCAACAAAGAAATACTTAGTGCCATACAGGACAGTGCCAGAAGACAGCACAGATCTATTATAAAAATCGAAACGTTAACGTTCTGTTTGAAGCGTTTGATTGTCGAAAATTTCAGTCCCCTTATGCTTTTATCATTGACCTCTCCACAAATGCAGTTCAAAAATTTAGAAGTTGTGAAGGAATTTGGCGGTGGATCGGGGGGTCACACCACGGTAAGGTTATAGACGATGAACACAACCGGAAAGAGTAGAAACTTGTATCATTTACTTCCACGTTCCGAGGCTGACATTTCCCCGAGAATCAGCGATGACCGTCTGAACGAAAACCTTGAGGCTGTTTTCCAGCGAGCGCGGCCTGGCAGAGCGCGGCCAGCCAGAGCGCAGGTCCCTCGGTGACTCAGGGCCCTCGGCCCAGCCCAGCCCGGCCCAGCCCGGCTCGCAGGCCTCTGGAACAGCTCTAATTGTAAATTATTTTATGAGGCTTTGGCATTCCCCGGGCGGTGCTGCGCGGTGCTGCGCTGCGCGGCTCGCAGCCAGATTGCAGCCTGTTCTGCAGCGGCCCTACGCGGCCCTACGCCGCTGGAGCTGGAGTCTGGAGTCCGCGCTGCCACGCTGCAGCGGGCTGCTCCCTGGAATCGACCGATCCCGAGAATTTCCCGCGCCGCGACCAAGTCTCATGCCGCAGCCGCAAGGCAGGCTTGACGAAATAGGAGCGCGGATTCCTCGTGCCGAGATTTTTGTCGAGCGCGTTGAAATAGATTGTGGTCCACCTTGCAGCGGCCGGCCGGTCTGCCTGCCTGCCTGCCTGCCTCTCGCCCTGCTTGGGCAAGGTCAGCACTGCTGCCCTGCCCTGCCCCCGCGCCCCGCCCGCCCCGCCCGCCGGGCCGGTCTTTGTTTTGTGTTATGCAGTCATTAAAACCTGATCCGATTCCGATCGGCCAAAGCGAAGGGAAGGGACCCCTCTATCGCGCGGTCGCATCGGGGAACAGGTCAGGAACGGTCGGAAAAAAGGCCGTGGCGGTGCTGCGGTGCTGCGGGCTGCGGGGCTGCCTCTGGCGGGAAGTGGGCGCTTTGCGGCGCTTGCTGTGCTTGCTGCGCTTTTTGGACCGGCCTCGGGCGATAGCGATAGCGCGCGCTTTGGCGGTGCCGGCGAGGGAGGACGATGCAGTTTGCATTGGGACGCGGCGAGCCGACGGCGTGAGGATGAGGGGCGGTGAGCGAGGCCGCGGCCCGTCAAGGCACAAGCAGCGTAGCAGCGCGAGCAAGACGGGTAGCGGTGCCAACCGGTGGCGACCCTACATGGCCTACGTGGCCTGCATGGCCTGCGTCGTGAATTGGAACGCGCTGTATTGGCGGCAGAGAGGAAGCCCGGCCGAGCGCCGCGGAGGTAGGCCGCCACGCGGGCGCGCCGAGCACCGCTGTCGTGCAGGCCGGCCTACCCCGCCGTTCGCAGGGGCGCTCGGGACGACGCGTCGCGACGCCCGGCAAACAGAAACAAACCGATGCGTCGGGAATCTCGGCTTTTCTGTCAGTAGGATTTTTAGTGATGCCTCGTGTGAGGTCAGTGGCGAAGCAGTGGAGTGCGCGTAACGAGTACGGAGGAACCATTCGGGCCGCCGGGGGCGCGCTGGCGGGGCGGGCTGGCAATGCCTGGCATGGGGTCGGCTTGTCGGACTATCAAACGCGGCGGGGGATGGTCTGGTCGTGGCGGCCACCCGAGTCAGCCACTCGACGGCGCTACTGCCTCGCCCCCCACGGACCGACGGACTCTGCAGGACTCCCGGGACGAGGTCCGAGGCATCGCTGCACGCCAGTGACGCCATGGCAGTGCACTGCACAGAGGACGTACCTTACACCGGCCGCCTTGCCGTGCCTTGCGTCACGTGACGAGGTTACCTCACGGCCCCGCCGAGCGAGGGGTCGCTGCGCCGCGCCGTCTCTCTCGCACCCCCACGGAACGCCACGCGAGTGCGACAGAGGCAGGGCGACGACGCGGCGCTCCGGTCTGCAGGTCGGAGCGCTGACTCGTTGACACGGCTTTGAGTTTCCAGGCCTTCCAGGCGTTCGAGTGGAGCGGCGATGATTCATGGGGAGGGACAAGGACGGAAAAAGAGCGGCGAGGTCGTTGTCGCGCAGCTCTGGAAGCCACGCCACGCGACGCCCCTCGTAAAACGAACAAATTAAAACTTGTATAGTTTTTATTAGTTTTTTAGTAAATTTTGTTAAATTTTAAAAATTGAATTAAATTTGACTAAACTTAAGTATTTTTAATTAATTTTCATTTGCAAAACTAGAATTTGTTAATCTTTGTAAGCTGCATTTATTCAATTTAATTTAAGATTTAATCAAAGCAGCTTACAAAGATTAACAAATTCTAGTTTTGCAAATGAAAATTAATTAAAAATACTTAAGTTTAGTCAAATTTAATTCAATTTTTAAAATTTAACAAAATTTACTAAAAAAACTAATAAAAACTATACAAGTTTTAATTTGTTCGTTTTACGAGGGGCCGCGACGCCAGCGTGTTTTGTACTGAATCATTGATTTATGCACCGCTGCACCGCTGCCCCGCTGCAGCGGTATGAAAGGTGGCCGTAGTTAAGCGACAGCAGCGCCCCGGCCAGCCTCGCCCTGGGAACGCCAGGAAACATATCTTGTTGGCGAGGGAACGCCCAGCGGCGCGGCCGCGCAGCCTGGTGCAGCCCGGCCGGGTCGCACAGGAAAATATAGATTAAGGTTGGCACTCGCGCCGCACGACGCATTCCGCATTCCGGGCAAAACAAAGACGGCGAGAAGACCGCCGAGTGTCAGTGTGTGCAGTGCGTGCAGTGCGACCACCAGAGCGGGCGGGGACGCCCATTGGATGCACCCGTGCCCAGGGCGGCGCAGAGTTTCGAAGGGGTGCCCCCCAGCCTGTCTACCAACAGGAAAACACCTTGCCTGACTTACCTTAACCTAATCTAATGTGACCTAACCTAACCGCCGCAGCGTACAGTTCGGCCCGCGTTTGTGGGTATGCGAGAGGGAGGGAGATGTGTGATGGATCGGACGGTCGCAATTAATATCACGCGTTGCTGCACGCGGCACGGCAATCCACCTGGCGGGGCGTGGCGGGGCGTGGCGGCGCGGTC